ACACTGAAAACAAATACGAATTGTCTATATTGACAGTATATTTTGACAATAAATTTTTTAAACCATAAGTTACATTTCCTTTTTTTGTTTTCGAATGTTTCTCACTGAGAATCAAGACAATGGTAATAATTCGTCTAAAAGTCTGAATGTCTGTGTGAAGAAAAGATTTCAATGTTCAGCATATGGTAGGGACTTGGTAAACATGAACTGAAACTGCACTGGAATTGCTTGCTCCAAGATCTTTACCAATATGGAACCAAAACAAGAAGGAAAGCACAGAGAGTTAGTGCGATCTTTTAAACTCTCTTCCCCTATTCAGAAACTAATTTGTTCTTCTAAGAATATGACCCCCCATATTCATTTTTTTTTTTTCTGTCCTGCTGGCTTCTTAAAAACTTTTTCCTGATACCATGTCTTCTTATGGTCATAGTCTTAGGCAGTTTAGATGTAGAAGTTTAATACCCTCTTTGGTAGTTATATTTTCTGACAAATATTCACTACAAATGTACAAAGAAAAGAGAAGACCAGCCCCGAGGAGACCCTCGCTGTGGCACATTAGTTATCCTTCAACAGGTGTAGGAACTTTGAGCCAGGGAAGCCTGGATGACGAAGAGACAGCACCTCAGGCAGCCTTGCCAGGAGCCACTGGGTTTCATCCTGGCCTGACCCAGAAAAATCTTATGGAAGAGAACAAGAGGCCCAAGGGCTCTCTGATCTGCTGTCAACCAGCTGCAGCCGGGAGACTGCCAAAGCGCTGCAGTGACTAGGCAGCGCCCTACAGAGCCGTCTGGGAGGGGATTACCAGCCTGATCCCTTGTCTTTAGAGCCAGAAATGACTCAAACTTCACAAACAGCAAGGGCCTGCCAGGGAGGGTGACAATGAGCACTGGAAAGGGTTTTCTCCCCCTTGTTGGTGTCTCTTCCCCCTACTTGCTGCTGTGGCAGATTCTGGACTGTGTGCAGCCTGTGAGGTAATCTGAATTCCTTGGCAACCAGCAAGTACCTGAATTCTTTCAAAACCACAGGAATCCAGCAGAGAAAAGGTAAATATCCCTGCGGAGCCAGTGTTAATTAGCAAGGAAGGCTACTGAAGAAGGAACTGGGGGTGGGGAGAAAGAGAAAGGCAGTACAAATGCTTTGGGGTCTTTTCTGAGTTTCCACTGAATAATATGGCTGAGGCAGAAAAAAAGCTGTTCCAACTGGGACCTTCCCAGAGTCCTCTCCTCCCGCCTCTGCCGCATGGGTGGAACTCAGCTCCCTGGATGGGTACTCACATCTCCCCCCGCCGCCACAAGTTGCTAGAGCTGCCTATCTTTGGGTCTCTGGCAACATATTTGGTTTTTAACTCCATTTTGTTCTCATTTTTTTTGAACTTTTAATTTTTTCCTGTTTCAGTAAAAATCTGGCTATTAGCTTCATCTCAGAAAGGGCTCTGTCAAATCATCTAAACCCAATACTGGATCCACCTAAAGCTATAAAATCCAGGACAAAATCTTTTTGGATTCCACCTCTGACAGGAAAAAGAATCTACACCATTTTGGAGCACCCCTCTGTGGAAACTGACTGTCCCCTGGTGGCGCAAAACAGGAACATGTGAGTAAAATTCAAAAGCACAGGGGACCTTTGAGGGCTACTGTGAGAATCACAAAAAGCTGTACCCAAATACCAGGGGGACAATTTTAACACATCTTCAATATTTTACCCACACATAAGAAAACAGGGTTCTCCCACATCTTATGTTAATAAAACAGTAAGGACAACTGAAAACACTAATCTATAAAGAAACTAGGGTTTTCACAAATTTAATTTTGTGTAAAAAAATTTACACAAAATAACTTATTTCATAAAACTGTCTTATGTAATGAATTTAATCTTTCTGTCACCTAGCATTAATTTGAGGTCCAAAACAAAAGCAATAGGGTATAAGAGAATTCATTCTAAGAAGGAAATGAATTGTATTTGCCTCCTGTTCTCTTTAGGGAAGATTATGGATTTTCTTGTTGAGCCTCAACATAACCCAGTGATCTCATCCCAAACTGAATGTCTTCAGTTATGTCTACATAAAATACATGTGGCCCAAGATTAATAAAAGCTGCAGATCTGGAGATGCTACAGACTGTCGACACAGTTGAACAGACTCTGAGGATTACAATGAAGCAAGTGAATGCCAAGATACATAATGAGCGACGACACAAGAACTTAGGCCGCTAGGCACGGTGGCTCACACTTGTAATCCCAGCACTTTGGGAGGCCAAGGCTAGCGGATCATGAGGTCAAGACATTGAGACCATCCTGGCCAACATGGTAAAACCCCGTCTCTACTAAAAATACAAAAATTCACTGGGCATGGTGGCACACACTTGTAGTCCTAGCTACTTGGCAGACCAAGGCAGGAGAATCTCTTGAACCAGGAGGCGGAGGTTGCAGTGAGCCGAGATGCCGCCACTGTACTCCAGCCTGGTGACAGAGTGAGATTCTGTATCAAAAAAACTTAGGCATATTGAAATTATTGCATAGAACAGCGTGCCTTCGCAGGACTCCAGCAAACAGTGCATCATACTGCCACGCGTCATGCTTTTGTAAAGCTTCCATAAAGCTTTTATATTCATTTATACTTTCAGGTAAACCTAACGAAAGCCCTGAAAATTCATGTTGTTTTCTGGTTCCACTTGGTCTGAGTTTTTGAAAAGCTGTTTTTCTAATTATTCTGAGAAAAAGCATCCATTGGCTAACATACATATAAATTTTTTGTTTCTGCTGGAAGCAAAAGAAAAGGGTTATACTTAATTCCATAGATTCTGACTTCGAACACACAACCAGTAGCCAAAGCACTTGAATATTTGTAGTAAATTCTATAATAAACCTTGGTACTGTTGTTCTCATGCTGTGCTCTGAACCAGAAAGATCTTAAAATTATGCCAAATTTTACCCATAGAGAGGGCTGTTATTATTGTAGGTGAAAATATCTTTGGAATATTAAGCAAAACATACTGGTATAATATCCTTGAGAAACAGTGAAGCACAACCTTGATCTCTTTTCTCTATTCCCAAAGTCCAATTTTTGGCAGGACATAATCTGTTTCTTGTAACTTGACACAGGAGAGAAGTTATGGTGAGGATGAGCAGAGGAAGGAGAATGATAAAACTTATAAAAGAGAGAGAATGCTCAGAGGTCTCACATTATAAAGCTGAAACTCCTCAGCATCTTGCATATCTGAGAAGTTCGGAGTGTATTTTACCTTCATTTTGTTAAAATAATATAGGGAATAGACATTTACTTTTTTTCATGAGATGGGGTCTCGCAATGTTGACCAAACTGGTCTTGAACTCCTGGTCTCCAGCAATCCTCCTGTCTCAGCCTCCCAAAGTGCTAGGATTACAGAGGGGAGCCACCATGCCTGGCCGGGAATAGGCTTTTATACCTAATTTTGTATAGTGATACTTCAAAGCATGAGAGCACATGTGTCTATAAACATTATAGACAATTTCTTTCCTATAAAAACCAGATTAGAGCTAGTAGTCACTTCATGTTCAGATGCCTGGTTCAGCCCTTTATCTAATAACTGGGAGATGTTTCAGTTTTTCCCTTTCTCAATTTTCAAGGAACAGAGAGAGGCCAGATCTAGGGAGTTTTCGTAGTCTTCAATGTTCCCAGGGCTCAAACTCAAAATCTTCGTTAAGAATACGACAGCACCTATAAATGCTGTCACTGCCACCTAGAGGTGAATGGAACACACAGCTCCACTGGCTAGAAGGTTTGGTTAGTCCGAAGCTTTTGTATCTCACTGATTTCAAGTCATGGGATAAATCTGAAAAAAACTAAGTCTCTAAAATCATTAAAAGACCATTCTAAAAATAATAGTTGTCAAAGTACAACAATATTTGTGTACAGGTAGCCATCTTTTAGCCATGGTATTTCCCAACTTTCAATTGCATTTTCTAAAACACAGAAACATACGCAGACCATGATTTTTTAGCTTGTTGTGACCACTCACAGATGCAAACCACCTCCTAAACTGCTATGGTCTATAACAAGCTTGCCCAACGTGAGGCCCGCAGGCTGCATGCAGCCCAGGATGGCTCTGAATGCGGCCCAACGCAAATTTGTAAACTTTCTTAAAATATTATGAGTGTTTTGCAATTTCTTTTAAGCTTATCGGCTATTCTTAGTATTAGTGTATTTTATGGGTGGCCCAAGACAATTCTTCTTCCAATGTGGCCCAGGGAAGCCAAAAGATTGAACATCCCTGCTTTATATCAAAGGCACTATGCATAAAAAGAACTTCAGGGCAAGCTGGTTGGTTGATACAAAAATTCAGTTTTGTTGGGGGAAAGTACACAGCATAGTAGTTACGTACTTATTTTAAAAAATTTAAAGAGTTTATGAAAACAATTACCTGTAAAATTCTGTGGCTATGGGAAACAAAACTTCAAAATATCACAATTTGAACTTAATCTCCTAAGTCACATTACCTTAAAACTTAGAAAGCACCTCAACAAAGAGAGAACAATGTATGTACAACTACTGTAAAGTAACTTGGATGTTGAGGGAAAAAAAACCAATAACTTCTAAATGGACACGAAATAGTCTGACTCCTGAGCTCTGGAGTCAGATCCATGAGTTCAAATCCCCATTCCACTTCTCTCGCCTCTAAATCTGTTTCCTCAACTGCAAAAATGCATCAACTAAAAGGCTGTTATGAGGATGAAAATAAATTCCTGGCATATAAATACCACATGATCCTGGTTCACTGCTGGGAAGACGTTTATGCACCTTACATGTGGACATTCATTGAGACTATAGACAAATAAGACCAATTTCTGAAGTTCTTTTTACGCATAGTGGCTGTGATGTTATAGAGCACAGCAGATGAGGAGGTGGTATGCATCTGTAAGCAATAATGACAAGTGAAAATAGCATGATCTGATTTAATAAACTTGTTAACGGGTCCACTTTTAATATATGCACCCAACCCTTCTGCCCCAAAACAGTGTCTTACCTAGCCAATCCTTCTTCATAGAGATAGATGACAAGAGGATCATAGGAAGTCACGAGCACATAGAGGCGCACGTCAAACTTGAAATCTAAAAAAAAAAAAAAATTTGTATTTACAAAAAAACCTAAGATAATTTGTTTCCTGTTATAGAATAAACAATGAAACCAAGAAACATGAAAGCAAGAACATTCCTCCTCTCCACATGAAACATATACTGCCCATATACCTTGCCTTTTGAGGATAATAATTATATAAATGTTCCATATACACAGTACGTTATATATACAGTACCTAATAACAACAGTATAATGTATATATACATTAATATAACTGTAATATATACATAATGTCTATGTGTGCCATTTTCATACACATTAATTACTGCACAATTTTCATACATACATTAACTGCTATATAACCTATAAAGCACTTTCTCTTATATTATCTCATTTCACCTTTAAATAAATCCCATGAGATAGGTAAGGAACTGGCTGCCTTTCTGGAGCCACACATGTCAAGAATTTCGCAACAGTATAATAAAGACTTATTAGAGAAGGTTATGAAAAGCTTAAAAAGTTTAAGAAAGAACTGGCCCAATTTAGTCAAGGGCCTAATCACAACTCACCATCTATGAGCAGGGGGTTGTTAATGTAACGGGAGACCAGAATGTTCTCTTCCAGGGAAATCTGGTTTGGCTATTGAGTAAAGAGAAAGAATGAAAGAGTAGAAATGCACAAGAACCCTAATTTACAATAAGGGAGCAAAGTGCTTAACCTTTTAAGAAATGATAATGTGGAAAACTAAAATTCTGGTTAAAGTTTCCTCCAAGGTACCCACATATTCAGTTGGCCATATAACATTCACTTCTATAACATTACAGGCATCCAATTACAATGCAGGAAAACTAAATTTACCCAGCACCTCTCACATAATAAATACAGCCTAAATAGCTTTAAAGATGTGTATACACGATATTAAATAGTTACATGCCAAGAAAATAAGAGCCACTTTAAAAATCAATAAAAACTTGCTTTCTCCCTAATGTAAAGTATAATGGAAATTTCAAAATACTACTATTCTTAAATCAAGGTTTTCATTAAGATGTTTAAAGAATTTACAGATCCACAATGGATCCTAGCATTTCCTCTGTAAAATGAGATAGGTGTTTGATTCACTTAAGGAAATTTGCTAAGCAAGTGTATGCAAGGAGTGAATAAGATCTTTTAAGGATGTCTTCAACGAGAAAAAGTTGTTTATACAATAAATAGAAAGAACTGTTGGACACTGTATACGGCACTGGGGATACCACGATGAAGATAACAGATATAATCTCTGCCTTGCCAATTTAAGATTCAGTAAATCCCTATCCCTGAAAAGTTTAATATTTAGGTAGAGGAACAGCAAAATACAGAATTTAAAAGAACACAAAGCAGCATTTCTGTAAATACAAGACGTGAGGTTGCAAAGTTAAAGTGCAGACCAACTAGGTAGGACCAGTCAGGGAAGACTTATCCTGGAAGAGCAGATGCAGAAACGAGGGGTGAAGGCTGTGAAGCACATGGTGGAGAAGAAAGGAGCCCATCATGGGAAGATGGCATGCAGCAAGTCCAGCAGAAAGGAGGGTGGCCGATTCACAAACCTGAGGCTAAAAGACTGAACTGGGAAATTGTGAAAGAAATGGCTAACAATGAGGAAGGGGGTACCCCACTGGCAAAGGGATCTGAACCCCTGGCAAAGGGATTTTATATTTAGCATGGTGGGAAGCGGGAAATTATTATGGATTCTAGATTAAGGAAACAGCAAGATTAAAATATCTGGGGAGAAAAAAACCTTCATGTGTGATTAGATAAAGACAGAGAAATCAGCTGGAAGTCACCACAATCCAAGTAGGACAAAAGGGCTCCAAAAGGGAAGTGGTAATCATAATTTGGTTGATAATAGCCACAGTCAAGGCAACAGAATTAACCATCGACATTTGCAGAAACAAAATTTAACAAATGCACTAAACATGCGGATGTGCCAAGTGCTGTTCTGAGTCTGATCCCAGGATTATTTCATTTAACCCTCACCCAACCCCATGAGGCAGGTATATCACCATCCACATTTTACAGATGAAAAAGGAATCAGAGTGGGTTAGGGACGTGCTCAAAGTCACACAGTTAATAGAGCAGCAATGGAATCCAGGGAGTCTTCCTCAGAGGCTTAACTTTTAGGCATTGTTCTTACTGCTTCCCAATATTCTGCTCTCAGATTTAATTGTCCCCCAAATTCAAAAGTTTGTCTTCATAATAATGCATTTCCTACCCCCAATACTACAGTTTTTCATAAGATAAGGATAATCTTGTGACCTATAACTCTACACAGAACCACTATGAGCAACTCCCAAGTCAGAATGATGAGATTCTTCTCTCATTTCCCTCGGCTGCCATCTCAGTCAGAACAGTTTTCTCAAGCCATCTCTATGCATCACAGGAACACAATGACATAATTACTGATACATCCTTAATGAACTTAATCACCCATACCATTTCCTGACTCCCTTACATTTCTTGATCAGCTTCTCAAAAGTATTATCTCCATTTTGAATCAGCTCAGTGAGAATCGATGCAATCATTGTACAGCTGCAGGCTATGTTGTAAATGTAAAATCAAACAATTGCAGTTCTCTTCCTACTGAGTAGAACCTATAGGCTACAACAAATATCTAGTCACCCAACTTTGCTTCACAGCAGAGAATATGCTGACAGTGGTCATCATTCTGTGACACATCTAATGCCCATGCCCATTTCCTCTCTTCCCTTGCTAACCATACACATTTATTCTTTGACGTACAGATAACAAACCTTTACGTTATTTAGTTAACTTTACTATTTGTTCTACTGTCTTTATCTCTCACTTCTATCTGCACTGGGAATTAAAGTGTAAGCTCCTAGAACAAAAAGAAAGGTTTGGGTACAGTTTTTTTGCATAGCATTACAGACTGAAGAGCAACTAAGAAAAACTTTCTGATATCTTCAAGCCTGTTTCGTTTTCATCAAACCCTAGTTAAATCATTTTAAATTATTTCAATTCAAAGCTCAAACTGCCTCCCAAAGTATGCTAAAGTAGGAATCTGAATTGTTGGGAAAGTTGGAAACGCATCTTACTTTTTTTTTTTTTTTTTTTTTTTTTTGAGACAGTCTCGTTTCTTCACCCAGGCTGGAGTGCAAAGGTGTAATCTCGGCTCACTGCAACCCCCGCCCACCAGGTTCAAGCAATTCTCCTGCCTCAGCCTCCCTCCACAGTAGTTGGGATTACAGGTAAGTGTTACTACGCCTGACTAATTTTTGTATTTTTAGTAGAGATGGGGTTTCACCACGTTAGCCAGGCTGGTCTCAACCTCCTGGCCTCAAGTGATCCACCTGCCTCGGCCTCCCAAAGTGCTGGGATTGCAGGTGTGAGCCACCGTGCCCGGCTAGAAATACATCTTCCTAACTGGACCTTAAGATTAAAGCTCATGGTATCCAAGTCATTGTAAAGGAGAATGGTTAAGAGTGTCTATGCCAGAACCAGCCGTACCTGAGTTACAACCTTGACTCTACCACTTACTAAGGAAATAGTAACTACCTCATAGGGTTCATATATAGATTAAGTGAGATTATGTTTAGAAAGGTCAGCAGCAGGCTCAATGAAGATGTTATTATTACTGCAAACTTAACAGTATATATGCGGTTCTAATTGCAGAGCCCCAAGCTCAACAGCATTCATCACTACCTGCCACACGCCATTCTAGTCAGAATACTGAGTTATTATGAAAATTAAGAGATACATAATAATTAGGAGAATTTCTCAAAAGCTTTTAAGGAGTGACAACACAGCAGGCACTCCCAAAATACCTGCTGAGCAATTAGACAAACAGAGGGAACCTAAGATAAAAACATATAAACAGAAAGAAGAGAGTACAGCATTATATTCGCAAGTATAGGAGGGACTAGAGTGACCTAACACTCTCCTAATATATGAAAATCTCAGAGAATGTATCAATACTGTATTTACCATGAATAATGTGTTGAGACAAGGATGACTAAATTTGACTTCCATAATTAAATTCAATACCTTAATCGGAAAACACCCGTTCTTTCCCCTCCTGGATTTGAATATACTAAATTGGGAAAATATGGCATTTAGTCATGGTTACTGAAGGAGTGGAGCAAAAAAACAGCTTTGTCCCTTTATGCTGTATTTCTAGAGTTAAAGAGCATATCATTACCAGACCAGGTTAGCCAACCAACCGAGATGCTTCCATCTGTGGTCCACACTTCTCTTTTCAGTGTTAAAGTAATGCTCTTGCTATCCTTTATCCTGCTCTTGTAATGGTAAAAGTTGCTATTTGCAGAGCGTTTCCAAAAGGTTATGATTACTATTGGGAAGTTTTAACAAGTGGCCCTCTTACTCCAGTGGGAAGACCGGGGAAGATATTTTCATTTGGGCCTCACACTAACTCCATCGCCCCTGCCTAAATCCCTCACCCACTCACATGAGTTCTGCTCACAGACCCTCCACCTCAGCATTCCCTCTCCTCACCCTCCTGCTCAAATCTAAAAGGAAAGCAGGCAGCAGCCTTGGAAAGAGTTACTTCATCAAGTTGGCTAATGGGTCACATATTCCATGGGAAAGGATCCAGGTATGGAAAAGAGGGAATGGTTATGCCTTCTGTGTAAGGAGAGAGAAGAGTATTAACAACATGATTTGCAGGTCTGGGTAAAAGGTGGTAAAATTCCAGTTTCAGGGTGAAATGGGAGTATTTTCCCATTATGTCCGCATGTTGCCAGCTCCCCTCATGCCTGCTGGCGTCTTCCCAGGCTTCTGTCTGGCACCTCCACTAAATACCTAAAAGAATCAGACTCACTCCAAAGCTTCACAAAGAGGGAGGGGGAAGGTAAAAGGTCCTGCCAAGTACTTTGATCTGTGCAGGGGGTCTCAAGAGATTCAGCCCAGGGAGAGGTGGGAGAGAAAAACACTTACACAGCTTGCCAAACACATTCTCTAAAGACATGTCACCCCCTTGAGATTCAGCATCCAGGGAAGAGTTTGGGCACAGGGTTCTCGGCTCCACCAAGGAAAGTTTAACTTTTCTATCCTTTATGATGTTAGCTTTAAAATAACAAATCACTAGGGCAAAAGAGCATTCCAAAAGAAAAGAGTCCCAGATGAGCTGGGAATAGATCCTATTCTTTTTGACTCATGTCTAAGAAAGTAAAAAGCAAACTCGTACCATAGCTGACTTTCAATAGCAATTCCATTTGGCAGCGAAAACCCAAACCCAAACTAGTGCCGTCTATGAGATTCAAACAACACTGGAGCTCCTGGCACAGAGCTGAAGGAAAAGCTGTTGGAGAGGGGACTTCACACCAAGGTCACAGCACAGACAAGAGGAGACAGAGCCAAGGTATATGATCACGGCCTTCTGTCACAGGAGACTCAGGGTAGAAGGCCTCCAGAGTGGCCTAGGCCAGGTACAGAAGTTGTAGCCAATGCCTGGGGCTGTAGCAGTTGCTCTATCAAAACCAGATCCTATATTTATTTGGCATGAAGGGTATGGCCATCATTGTTTACTGTACGGTTTTGAGTCCAGACTGAATTTAAGGACTTTCCAATATGAAAGATAACTCAGAAAGTTAGTTTCTACACATATGGGAAACAGTTCAATGTGAAAAGACAACTGGGGAATTTAAGATGGGGTTTTGGTCCCACATATAACATATCTACCTCCCCCTGCCCTTTCAGAGTTCCAGTGGAAAGACAGAATATTTTCAAAAGAATGAAATGATATCAAAGCTAGAAAAAAGTAAAAGGAGCCAGGCAAGTCCAAACATTTTAAGAAATCCTAAAAGACAGAAAGCAGATGGGATCGTGTTGAGAAAACAGAGCAGAGGAAGTTCCAGCCCAAAATATCAGAGATAAGAGTGATCTTCCCAAGGAGGATCCTGCAAATGTCCAAGCTTGTAGTCAATAAACATGAAGATCAGGGATCAGCCAAGGAATACGAATTAGATAATTAACAAATAGCATTTGGAACAGTGAGACCAGTAGACTTGTGGGTGCAGGGATCTGATAGAGAAGAATGAAACTTGAGGCTACTTTATCCCTAATACACACAAAAAGGAAAACAGAAGAAAGGTAGCTCTGCCCAAAATCACCAAATCTTCCTCTAAATTCACAATGTGGTCCACTCTGTTTTGGCAAGGTGGAAGAGGCATGCTCCTCACCACGTCCACCTAAAGTGAAGCCTGACAGTCAACACATTTTGCCCTTACACAAAATACACAGATTCTTCCAGGAAGAAGCTGCTAGGAAAAGAGTCCTATACAACCACAGTAGAAACAAGAGCAGCTGCCAGTTTTATTCAGTCTGGTCTTTTGTTCATAAATATGGTCCAACACCTAAGGATCATAAAAACTGAGAAAATCCGATAGCAGGGGAAAAGACAATCCCAATAAAATTCAAGGACAGAAGAGAACTTTACAAAAATTTCCACTAGTATCCTCAGAGGGACAGGCAGGCAACCTGCATCCATTATGCAACAAAAGGTTACTACTTGTAAGTAAAAATAAATCAAATCAGAATATGAGCTTCTGGAAATCAACCTATGATATCCAATATAAAAATATAGTAGATGAATGAACAATAAAATGGATAAACTTCAACCTGTGATCTAGAAGATAAAGATGGGAAAAGAATTAACAACGAGAGAAAAGTTAACATGAAGATCCAGAATGCCTCAAAAAAGAGCTCTAAAAGTGGAGACAAATAAGAGGATAATTTTCCTTAAAGAAAAACACTAGTTTCCAAACTGAAAGTGCCTACCAAAAGCCAAGGAGGAATAATAAAAAACAGGCCCAGGTCTAAATACTGGTTAAATTTCAGAATCCCAAAGTCTATCAGCAGCAGCAAATTCATATGGGTCTGCAGCTACTCAATTCTTGCCTCCTTGAAGGAAAGAATTCATCTGAGAGGCATAAGGCAGAGTAAGAGACCGTGGCCAGTTTTAGAGCAGGAGTGAACATTTATTAAAAAGTTTTAGAGCAGGAATGAAAGTAAGTACACTACACTTGGAAGAGAGCCAAGCAGACAACTTGAGAGATCCAAGTGCCTGTTTGACCTTAGACTTGGGGTTTTATACATTGGCATGCTTCCAGGGTTTTGCATCTCTCCTCCCTTGATTTTTCCATGGGACAGGCTGTCTGCATGTGCAGTGGCCTGACAGCACTTAAGAGGGGCCGCATATGCAGTGTGTTTACTGCAGTTGTGCACATGCTCATTTGAAGCATTTTTGCCTTACCAGTCGAGTGTTCCTAGAGGAAGCGCATATACCAGTTAAAGTCCATTATTTTGCTTCTTAGTGCACATGCTTGAGCCTACTTGTCCAAATCCTGAGATCTTATTGGGAAATGGCTGATCACAGGCTTCAGGTGTTTTCTATTTGTTGGGAACCTGCCTATCTCTGGCATCTGCTGCTACCAATTATTATTTTAGAGACACCAGTTTAACAACTGCCTGACCATCACCTGATGATCACCTGAACTCCTTGGTGGTGGTCCTGTCATGCCCTGCTCATGTCTGCCTGGCTACCTATTCTAGCATTTCCTCCTTCAAGAATCCAAGAGTGTTTCCACTGAATTTAAATTTTTTAGTCAACTTATAAAGAAACTGAATCATAGTTACTGAAGAGACTGTTATAAATGTTTAAAACATAAGAATAAAAACTAATCAAACAAATGTGCAAGGGAGGGTGGGATGTGATGTAAGTGCAATAAATGCCAAACTGATAATTAACAATACAATGTATATCAATGAAAGAAATATAAATCAACTAAAATTACTAACTGCTCTTATAAGTCTAGGGAATGAGACCAGTAGGGATTTTATTTGCCATGTATATGCATTCAATTTAAGACAAGTTTTAATGAGAATTTTGCAAAGAATCAAGACATTGACAGCTTTTGAAAAAAGAAGAGGAGAAATCAAAGGAAGAAGAGCAGAAAGAGGCTCTAAAACTTGCCTCGGTCTCTCACTCTGCCTCAGAAGGAAGGAGAAGCAGCAGTAGTAGCAAGGATGCCATACCAAATTAAGGTTCACTTGTTTGATAATCTTGAGAACAGAACCCACAGTTCTGCTCACAATAGACACATATATGCTATCAATTAATGCAGGTGTGTAGGAATTAACATCACAATATGCTGCAAGCAGAAAAGGTGCCTCTTTTCTGCTAACACAACAGGTTGCCCTCCCCCAAAATTTAATCAAGTGTCTTTTCAGCCATGCAGTAACTGCTGGTGCAGGAGAAGATTCCTGCCAACAAGTAAGGCAACAAGTCTATTCATACCCACCCTCAATTCACTTCTGAACACAGATTTCAGAAGAGCACACCTGCTCTTAATGAAATGGCACTATATTAGTAACCAGTACAAAGGCTGATGGAGCAAAGAACAAGTGAGGAAAGAGATTTGCCATCTGCTGCATACTTACATTGTTGATCAGGTAGACGCCTCGGCCCCTAGAAGAAGCCACTGGTTTTACTATCCAAGGTCCCCGGTCCTTTGAATATGAATCTGCTCAAAATATTGGGAGATTAAAAAGGGAGAAAACAAAGAAAAAGAATGAACTTGAGTTTATTATATCACCTTTCAACAACAGTTATCTACTCAGGGAACCCATAATCTTACAAATTTCTACGTGTTGGACAGCAACTAAAATTATCTGTACTTTTTGGATTGGCCTTAAAAACAAAACAGACAGAGGGAGGAAAGGAGGGAGGAGAAAAGGGGACAGCAAAATCACTCCCATAATAATTCCTTCCACCATTTCCCCTCTTTCCTTTTTCTTTCTTTTTTTTGGCAGGGTCTTGCTTTGTTGCCCAGGCTGAAGTGCAGTGGTGCTTTCATGGCTTATTGCAGCCTCAACCTCCAGGGTGCTAACAGTCCTCTCACCTCAGCCTCCTGAGTTGATGGGACTACAGGCATGGGCCACCAAGCCCTGTTAATTGTTTTTAACTTTTTGTAGAGGCAAGGTTTCTCTATTTTGCCCAGGCTGGTCTTGAACTCGTGGCCTCAAGCAATCCTCCCACCTTAGCCTCCCAAACTGCCGGAATTACAGGCATAAGCCACCATGCCCGGCCTCCCCTCTTTCTTTAATGAAAAGATGAAAACAAAATAAGGCAAACATCTAGATGTTAGTCTATTACTGTCACAAAGAACCATCATGAATCTTTGAAATTCTCACCTCTGTTAACTAAAGGACCTCAGGCACACAGTGTCAATGTAAGCTAAAACCTAGATCTCGTAATACAGCTATTTTCCTTAAATATTTCCTCGAAGCTTATAAAATAAAAATCACCTTAATTCAAGCAATATGCCAGTGGAGAGGAAGGACAATCATTTACAAGTGATTAAAAGGTGCCATTTGCTTCTGTTCCTTTCCCAGTTTCAGCTCAACACTTTAAATCCCTTTGGATCATGAAAACAGAAAGCAGACAACTGACACCAAGACTCCCAAAGGCTTGCAAGGGGTCTGAGGGGAAGCAGCTCTGTCTTCCACTTAGGGAATGTCAGAAGTCAGTGGGGAGAAGCAGGGATAGAGCTCTCAGTGCTGCTGATTCTCACATCCCAGACTGGAGAGGGAGCACTAGTCCCAACTGTGCCTCTTCCACTTTTGGTGAAATACCTCAGGTGGCAGCAGTCATTACTGTTTCAAAGCAGAGGTGAGGTGAAAGATAAAAATTAAAGACATTTGTTTTTTCTTGGTATTTTTCTTCAATGAAAGAAGAGAGAAAGGGAAGGAGTAGTGTGGGGAAATAAATCAAACAAATGCAAATGTTACTGAGCAGATCTCACAAAGGCTTCCTTTTTCCCAATTGCCTAAGTGGCTGTGCAGCAAGATATCAGTCCCATTTCATCTAGAATACAACAGCACAAACCTAAGAAAGTTCCCTATAGTTTCTGTTAATATGGTTTTATTTATTAAGAGGCACGTCATTTTCTAGGGCTCCAGTATCAGAAAAAGACTTTCAGATACTGGAGTCCCGAAGTTTTGCACACTTCCCTCCACCCTGCATCTGGGCTTACATCAGGCAGGCCTTCAGAAGGAGCTCTCTAGGCTCAGCTCCTTTTCCCAGATGACTTGCCAGCAACTACTTGTCTCCTTTTCTTTCCTCTCCCTCTGACATGAGCCAGTCTCTTCAAGGCCTCCCACACAAACTTGACTTTGTCAATGTCACAAACCATTTCACCAGGAGGAAAAAAAGATCTTTTGTCCACTCTCTCCCGTCTTCCTCTGTATTTTCCCTTGATCCAGAATTAACAGAATTAGAAAAACTGTCATGTGCCACATAGAATTTAACTCTATGAGCAACTCTACTTCTAAAACTATATCCTCTAGTTCTACTTACACGCGTAAAATATTGCATATACAAGATTCTCAGTGCTGTGTTTTAACAGCAAAATATTAATTAAATACACTACAATGCATCTATATGAAGGGTCAGCAAACTATTTTTGTAAAAAGCCAGAGAATAAACATCTTAGGTTATGCAGGCCACGCAGTTTCTGTGGCAGTTACCCAGCTCTGCAGTTGTACCTTGAAAGCAGCCATAAACAATATGCAAACAAAGGGGTGTGGCTGTTACACAATATTTTGTGTATAAACACTGAATTTCATATGATGTCTACAAGCCACAAAATGTTATTCTTCTTTTGATTTTTTTCCAACCATTTAAAAAAGGCCTTAGCTTGTGGGACACACAAAAACAGGCAGAAGACCAATTTCCCTCAAGGGATATAGTTTGCAGACATCTAATCTACACAATGGAATATTAAGCAAACACACAAAACAAGAATGTCATTAATGAACTGATATGGAACAATCTTGAAGATAACCTGTTAAATGAAAAAAAACAGAAAGTACAGGGCAATGTATGTTACATACACCCATCTGTTCATATACACACACAAGTTATTTGCTAGTAAATGTAAAGAATATCTCTAGAAGGTATGTAAGAAACTAGCAACGCTGATCATCTCTGGGGAGGAAAACTCAATGAGAAATAAGAGGAGAATGGAGACTTTTCACTGATGATTGTTTTGAAATTTATTTTGTACCATGGGAATATATTACCTTTCGAAAAATATAATTTATATAATTTTAAAGTCCTGCTATAGAAGACATATTTATAGTTATATACGACAAAAAAATTAAATCTCCATAAAGTGAGGCCACTGAATATATGTATATGTATTCAGTTTATATATTTTTTTCACTTTGCCATTTTCCCAATAATGAGCAGACAACAGAATGCCTGAGCAAAAAGGTATTAAAACAAAACAAAAAATAACAAAACTTTTCAAACGTCACTCAATCAATGCCTCTAAGTATCTAATCTGTGTCAATCAGTCTGCTAGGTGTGGGGCACACAGCAGTGAAAAATACAGTCTTTACCATCACGAAGATTAGACTAGCCAAAAAAACAGACATTGAACAAGTAATTACAGACACTGAGAGTTATAAAGCAGAAGTACAGGGTTTCATTGAAATGTCTAAGAAAACGACCAGGCTAGTTATTAATAGGCTCACTTACACCTATAATCCCAGCACTCTAGGAGGCTGGGGCAGGAGGATCCCTTGAGGACACGAGTTCAAGATCAGGCTGGGCAACACACCAAGACTGTCTCTACAGAAAATTAAAAAATTAGCCCGGCGTGGTGGTGCCTGCCTGTGGTCCCAGCTACTTCTAAGGCTGAGGTGGTAGGATAACTTGAGCCCAGTAATTCACCCCTTTCGGTAAGCTATGAATGCACCACTGCACCCCAGCCTGGGTGAGAGAGGAGGAGAGGGGGAGAGGAGGAAAGGGGAAGAGAGGGAAAAGGGGAAACGAGGGGGGGAGGAGAGGGGGCGAGGAAGAAGGGGAGGGGGAGAGGGGGAGAGGGAGATGGGGAGAGAGGGAGGGGGGAGAAGGAAAGAGGAAAAGAGAGGAGGAGATGGGGAGAGGAGGAGGGAGGAGAGGGGGAAGGGAGAGAGGGGAGAGGGGGAGAGGAGGAGAAGGGGAGGGAGAGGGAGAGAAAAGGACCAAAGCTGTCTGGAGACAGTACCCTCTACTTTGTGAACAGAAGTCAATGCTTCTGGCCAGGTGCCATGGCTCACGTCTATAATCCCAGCACTTTGGGGGGCCAAGGCAGGTGGATTACCTGAGGTGAGGAGTTCGAGACCAGCCTGGCCAACATGGTGAAACCCCGTCTCTACTAGAAATACAAAAACTAGCCAGGTATGGTGGTGCACGTCTGTAATCCCAGCTAGTCAGGAGGCTAAGGCAGAAGAATCATGGCTTCAACCCAGAAGGCAGAGGTTGCAGTGAGCCAAGATCACACCACTGCATTCCAGCCTGGGTGACAAAGCAAAACTCTGTCTCAGAAAAAAAGAAGTTAATGCTTCTTCAGGTGCTTCACTATCACTGAAATCTAAATGTTCTTGAAATTCTAAATATCAAAGACTTGTCTTTCATGCTAGGCTTTTCTCCTTGATTTGTGATATTTTCAGAACAAGGATTGATTTCTTTTACAGGTTCTAAAAATGTGGGTAGGAAGCAAGAAAAATCAGAAGCAAAGGCTAGGCAGAGAGCTCAGGAGCCTCTGCTTCAAGATGAAAATGTACTAAGCTCCACAATTCTTTCAAGTGCTTTCCAGTTCCCATAGTGGCAGCAGGCTTGGTCTACTAGAAAGAGCAATGAACCTGGAATAGAAAGATCTGAGTTCTAATTCTGGCTTTTCAAGTGTATGATTCTACAGGTAAGTTCCTTAAATCATCTAGTCTTATCTTTAAAATGAGATTTTTAACATTTAGCCTGACTTGCTAAGATCTCTTATAATTCTAAAATTGTAATTCTACAAATTTACCAACTGCTTTGAAATGTAGTCATCTGTAATTAATTGGCTGACACGAAAATTCACATGTTAGAATCATTTCTCAGTCTCTCTTACAACTAGAGATGGCTATAGAACCCAATTCTGGGGAAAGTTTTGCTTTTCTGATACTGGCACCACCCCATCTTTCTTCTTTGTTGCTTCCTTCCTCTTTCTGCTTAGAAAGCTGTCCCCTGAGGGGGAGTGGCTGAAGCTGGCAACAGGTCCTTAGCCAGGGTCTTCAGGGTCACAGACCTCGAATTCTAGTCAACTAAATACTGTAATTGGCAATGACAGCATCCAAGAAAGGCCTGTGTGCCATGTATTCCCACCCCTACACTCAAATTACTGAAAGAGTCTGAGGAGTACCCAGGCTTTCACATCTCTGGAGACAGTGACTAGTTTCTGGGCTACATCTTTACAGGTTTTCTCTTATTAGAATGAAAAGCTATATATTCATGAGATGGTATCACTACTGTATCTAGGCAATCCTCATACCCAGTCCTTATCAGTTCTCTTTCAAAGGCCCTTCAGAGGCTATTCAAACCCTTTCTGCCTCTTTAGGCACCCACCTATCCCTAGGCCCCTCACTCCTGGCACAAGACCTCATCAACCTGTTCACCAAGAATGCTAGGAATTTGTAACATAACCCTGCTTATCTGCTTTACTTTCCATCTAAAATGTTATCTGGGTCCTCAACTTAGCCTTCTTCCTTCCCCTCTTTTAGGAGACACACGCCCACTTCTCTTTCTAATGCTCACCTTTCTACTTGGGTTCTTGATTTAACCCTCTCTCCTGCCTCCTGAGATCTCATTCTCTTGTTCCTCTTCAATCTCCTTTTCCTCTGATTGTCTGTGGTGCTGCTTCTCTTTTTTTCTCTCCCTTAGTAATCACATACACCTCCATACCTGCAACTTCCAGCATCTACATCTCTGGCCAGAACTCAAAGCTGCTCTTACACTGTCTATAAAACACACTACCTGGATGCCCCATAGACATCCAAATCCATTCCTTGTCTGAAATGTAACATTTCTCCTCCTCCTTAACAGTTTCTCCTTTGCCTTCTGGGTACATTCCCTGTTTGAAAACTCATTGGTCCTCCTAGCTGCTCAGACTCAAACCTTAGGATGCCTCTTTGACCCCTGCCTCACTCCCCATACACAGGCAGTGATGTTTGTTCTCACCCTCTTTCTACTCATACCTATGCATTCCCACGACCTAGTTCAGTCCATCAATACTTTTTATCCACATCACTGCAAAAACCTTCAAAGAGACCTTCTAGAACGAAGGTCTCTTTTTTTCCCTCTGCTTCTGCCGACTCATTTCACATAGTTATTTTTCTAAAGGCCAGTCTGTTTATGGTGCCCCTTTCCTTCCAAAAAAAATTTCCTATTGCCCACACTCAAGTGCTGGAGGGCCAGAACATAATTCTATTAATTAGTATTATGCTTAACTAATACTAATTAATAGTCGTTATTAATAACATAACTACAAATTTAAACATAACATACTAAAATAGTAAAACATAGTAAAAACATAGTAGTATTAATATAGTTAGTAAACATAACTACTACTAATAATATAAACATAACCTGAAATACGAAACAGTATTAAACATTTATCAAGCCACCCCTATCAGGCACCACTCCAAGTGCTTTCTACATATTAACCTACTTAAAATAACTCAACAACATTATAAGGTCAGCACTAGCGATAGTCCCATTTTACAGATGTGGACATTAAGGCACACCGAAGTTTGAGTAACTTGGCTAAAGTCACATGGCAAAAAAAGATTCTTAACTACAAATTTGTAGCTTTGAGTACACCAAAGCTCTGAAGTTGATTCATTTAATTAGCGCTCTGTATGACCCACTGAAGAGCCGTCTGTGGGCAAACCATGAATCACCAACCAATGAATGGCCCCAACTAGAGCAACGAATGCTATTAGGTAAATGGTGGAGCGAGTGTTCCTGATGAACTGCTGGTCTGCTCTGCCAAAAGATGAACCACCCACTGGGTGACCCAGAGAGACTAGCAAGCCTAACAGGTTAAAAAAATCAAAAGTCAGGAAGTCTAGAGATAATGCTGTCTTCTCCCCAAGCTACTTAATCTATCCATAAAACAGAAATAGTCTCTTTCTTGGACCTCCTGGGAGGAAAACTGTCCTCTCTGTGTATCTCACCTGCTGCTTCTTATGGGAGAAGTGACTTCTCTCACTGGTGCTACTGGGAAATGGTCATTGCACGCAGGCTGCCCAACGCCATTAGCAATGCTGCACCGAGATGAGAAGCATGACCTCTGAAGCCAAACTGCCAGTTTGAATCCAAACTCTACCTTTTGCAAGCTGCATAACTTATGGAAAGTTTCTTAACCAAACATATCTTAGTCTCCTCATTTATAATACTACCAGAGTAGAGGTGCCACTTAAAAGAGAGCCTACTAGAAAGTAAACATTCACTAAATGTTAGCTACTACCATTGTAATTTGGACTTTTTCACAAGAGACCTGCCTCACATCTCGTCTGTACTCATGCCTCTTCTGTGCACTAAGTCTACTGAGTCAGGCTCTGTCCCTGTGGATGAAAGCCTGAAATAGCCCAGTGCCTCTGCCTGGGCCTGGGTAGGTAAGTTCACAATGATGCAAAAGAAATTAAGAAGCCCATTTTAGATCTGGATCCAGGCTATGTGTTCCTATGTCACTTTACCCACCATGCAGCTGACATTTAGGTGCCTATTTGGCTCCCATGTATATATTTTTTGTTAGTCTGAACTCAAAGAGGAGAAAATGTGACTAACTTGTAGCTCCAAACCCTAACATCAAAAGATATGGGATACCTGTACCCCCAAAGAACATAAATTACACAAGACTAGAAATCAAGGCCGACATGTTTCTCAAGTGGCAAGAGGGAAAGGGGTACTAAAAAGGAAGCATGTATAATTCACATGCGGGAATACAAAGTATCCTTACAGGCTGGTATGGCAGATGATGCCTGTCATCTCAGAATTTTGCAAAGCCAAGAGGGGAGGATCCTTTCAGCCCAGGTGTTCAAGACCAGCCTGGGCAACAGAGCAAGATCCCAGCTCTACAAAAAATTTAAAAATTAGCTGAGCACGGTGTTGCGTGCCTGTATTCCCAACAACTTGGGAGGCTGAGGAGGAAGGATCACTTGAGCCCAGGAGGCAGAGGGTGCAGTGACCCATGATCATGCCACTGCACTCCTGGGCTACACAGGGAGATTCTGTCTCTAAAGAAAAAAAAAATCCTTACATAGGCACTAAGTCATCAATGGAGAGAAGGGACATTCAAGCGAAAATATATAAGACAGGGGCATGGTTATGTGATGCCAATGTGTCTTTACGTAAATGATACTGACAAGTTTACTGAGCATATCGGAATAAAAATAGTTTTTGCCTCTGCAACTGTTTTACTAAAGAGTCACAGTTGTCTAAGGTTTTGGAAAGCCCTGACTGGTTGACAACTGGAGGAGGCCTTTGGGGCCCCCAGGTTCCGTTGCTGGGGACTGGGGCATTCTCTGTCAAGCACTTACTACAGAATTCCGCATACTCAGCTGGCAGTAGGAAGGTCTGAGGGAGAATGTGAAAAGCCTTGAAGCCATGTGTATGCTGCATTCGAATAATGTTTTTGTACAGTCGGTCCTTCCGGGTTAGTTCATAAGACCTAAAAATCAAAAAAGTATTTCCATTTCAGTCAACTATGACTCAGAATTTTCCTGTGTTATCACATTCAAAAGAGTTATAGTTCACAGTCCTAGAGCAGATAGTGAAGATAATATTATATCCTAAACATATCACTGTTAATCCAAAAGGCTTAATCATTTTCATCAAAGGGTTTTTTGGTCAGTTTTTGCCATTAAGATAAAATCTCCATACAGTAAAATTTGCCCTGTTTAATGTGTAATTCTATGATTTTGGACAAACACATACAATTATGTAACCACCACCACAATCAAGATAAAGAACAGTTTCGACATCCCAGAAAGTTACCTCAAGTCCCTCTGTAGTGGACCCTCCCAATCACCTCCAGCCCCGGGGAAAACATTCGTTTTTCTGTCCTCATAATATTGCCTTTTCCAGAAAGTCAAATAAATGGAACCAGACAGTGTGTGTCCTTTTAAGACTAGCTTCTTTCACAGAGCACAACTCATTTGAAATTTATCACTGTTGCATGTATCAGTATTCTGTCCCTTCTCTTACTCAGTAGTGATCTATTGTATAGATATACCACAGTTATCCATTCGCCATTTGAAAGCATCTGGGTTGTTTACAGTTTTTGGAGATTATGAATAAAGTTGCTACAAAGCATTACCATATAGATTTTTATATGAATGTAGGTTTTTATAAGTTTTAGTGTAAACATAAGTTTTTGTTTCTCTAGAAGTGGGACTGCTTGATTGTTCAGTAAGTTGCATTAATTATTTATTGCTACACAACAAATTACCCTAAAATACAGCAGCTTAAAATAACAATAAATATTTATGATTTCATAGTTTCTGGGGCCAGGAATGTGGGAGTGAGGGAGCTAGGCAGTTCTGTCCCAAGGTCCTTCATGAGGTTACAGTCAAGATGCTGGCCAGCACTGCAGTCATCAGGCTTAAGTGGGGATGGAAAACCCAACTTCCAAATGGCTTGTCACTCACATGGGACTGCCTGCTGGCAGGAGGCCTCAGTTCCTCCCCACATGAACTTTATCATAAGGCCAAGTGACTTCATGACGTGATATCTGGTTTCTCCCAGATCAAGTGATCCAAGAAAGTGAGCAAGAAGCTGTGTCGTCTTTCACAATCTAGTCTCAGAAGCAACAGTCACTTCTGCCATATTCCACTACTTAGAGGCAAGTCACTAAATCCAGTCAACACTCAAGAACAGAAAAATTAAGCTCAACCTTCTGAAAGCAATGTCAAAACATTTATGGACACATTTTACAATCAACACATAAGTATATGTTAAACTTTATAATAAACTGCCAAATGGTATTGAGGATTTTAGAAAAACAAGCTCCGTTTCTCCTGCTATATTCTGAGATACTGAAGAAAAACCAAAGTGTTTTTCCTACTCTCTACTCTCAATTCAACATAATCAATCAACACTTTTGACACCACATGTGTAGGGGGTTTCCCCACACACAAAGCAAGCAATCTTGCAGTGGGTGTCCTCTAACACAATTCAATTCTGACAATACCTGCCTGGAAGTAGTGTTAGTTCCCATATGTTGAAGGATCAGTGCCATTAGACTGCCTCCCACTTCCAATGCCAATAGCAAGTCCCAACTTGTTTCACCCGCACTTCTAACCAAAGGCTCTAAACAGGGGTCCCTGCAACTCCCTCTCTGAGTTCAACTAATTTGTTAGAGCAGCTCACAGAACTCAGAGAAACACTTATGTTTACTGATTTATTAGAAAGGGTATCACAAAGGATATAGAGGAAGAGACGCACAGGGTGAGCATGAGAAAAGAGCCACAGAACTTCTACGCGCTCTTGCACTCTCTGGGCACGCTGCCCACCAAGGATCTCCATGTGTTGTTCTGTTACCCAGAAGCTCTCCAAACCCGGTCCTTTTGGGTTTTTATGGAAGCTTCATTACACAAGCATAATTGATTGGACACTAGTGACTAATTTCACTTTCATCCCCCTTCCCTCCCTGGAGGCTAAGCGGTGGGCTGGAAATCCTAACCCTCTAATCATGCCTTGGTCTTTTCCTGTGACCAGTCCCCATTCTAAGGCTACCTAGGGACTGCCAGGCACCACTTAAGTCATTAGTATATAAAAAGACACTTCTCACTCTGGAGATTCCAAGAAGTTAAGGAATTATATGTCAGGAAACAAGAGGGAGACTAAATATATATTTCACAAGATCACAGTTATCGGAAGTGGCTATACCATTCTGCATTCCCAGCAGCAAAATAGTGTTCCAGTTGCCATGCATCCTGGCCCACACTTGGTGTTTTCTGGTTTTTGTTTTTAGCCACTCTAACAGGCATATATCAATACTTCGTATAGTTTTAATTTGTAATCCACTAATTACAAATGCTATTGAGCATCTGTTCAGGAGCATCTTGTATTTACCATCCCTGTATCTTCTTTGGTGAGACATTCAGATAGTTTACCCATTTTGAAAAATAAAGTTGTTTGTTTCCTTATTATTGAGTTTTAAGAGTTTGTTATGTATTCTGGATACAAATTTTTTATCAGTTATATGTTTTACAAATATTTCCTCCAGTCCATAGCTTGTTTTTCGTTTTCTTAATAGTGTCTTTCGAAGGACAGATATTTTTAATTTTTAAAAAGTCCAATTTATCAATTTTTTTTCCTTTTATGATTGTGCTTTTATTGTATCTAGGAATCCTTTGTCTAACACAAGGTTGCAAAGATGTTCTGTTTTCTTCCACAAGCTTTACAATTAATGTTTTATGTTTAGGTCTATGACCCTTATTTCAAATGGGTTTTTAAAAATTGATTCACAAGTATAAAATCTATTCTAAAACAGATTTCAAATTTAAGTAAACAAAAAAAAAACTGTTTAAAGTATGACTGTTGATAAATATACCCAAAATTTCAGGTTATAAAAACCGAACATGTGAAAAAAATTCTAGCTTCAAAGGCTTCAAAAGAGTCTGTGCTATTCACTACTATAAATCATTATAAAATATTTTTGGAACGCTGTGTGTTTTACTCTAATGGAATCATGATCCTCTAACAATATAAAATCATCCGGATTACTCAGATAGTGAAAAAAAACACTAGTACTCCAACTAAAAGCAAGCTCCCAGACCAAAGCATTCTGGAAGTTTTTAATGCCACAGGAATCTACAGATGTGACCTTCTGAGAAACAGCCTGACAAAAAAAAATTCTGAGTTAATTCTAAGTAGTATGAAAACTGTGAGAGATTGGCTACTAAAACACCAGAATTTGAGATGCTTTATTAATTTGTTTTTAGGAGGAAAAGCATTTAGTATATTTTTAAAAAGGACTGTCCAGGAAAATCAAACACATGGTTATTTAATCCATATTTACAAATCTGTTGCCATAGCAATAACTGCTCAACCTCTCATATACTATGTGGAACTCATTTCATCACTAGCAACCAGGGGCCTGCAATGACCCTCCTGGATCAGACCCAAGACAGACCTTAATTTTAGGGTATAATGATCCTATTACAGTAAAGACCCAGGTTAGGAACCCCATAGAGAACTACATCATTGAGAGATGGATATAGAAGAGGCAAAGTGATAAAGAAAACCAAGGAAATTAGCACCTTAAAATCAGGGTAATAATTGCCATTATATCAGGGGCACATTCTTATGCACAGTACTCCAGGTTAGCCTCAACTGGACTCATTGGGCTATAATTTGTTCCATTCCTTCAAAACCACCTAAGAACCTTTGTGGTAATCATTAAAAACTAATTCAACCTGTTCCACAGTTCAAATTTCTTTCTATGATTTCAAAAACTGCTTTGTCAAATCTAGGTACGACAAACATTTCTTTCTTATCCATGGCCCTCTTCTGAAATTCCAGAGCAGAGATACTCAAATTTTAGTGTATGTATGAATCACCTAGAGAACTTCCTAAAAAAATGCATGTTCCTGGGCCTCACCTCTCAATATTCTGGGATGAAGCCCAGGGTTCTGCATTTTAAACTAGTACCCCAGAAGATTCTGATAAAGATGGTCCAGGACCTACACTAACTGCTGATTTAATCTACAACAGTAATTTCCAAATCATTAGGAAATCAGAAACACTGAACCAGAGGGTAAGAAAAAGAATGCATTCTCCTACAGATGCCCCAAATCAGTGGCTTTCAAACTTCTGTTTGGTACATCCTAGAAGAATTTTGGGAAACTATATATCCTCTTGTATGTTTAAGCTGGCATCTAAGATTTTTCACCAGAAACTGAAATCATTCCAAAGAATCTGATGAATGGTAAATATTATATTAAGATAAAATTATAACACCACCCCCTGCATTTTTTTCTTTTTGACAGGGTCTTTCTGTGTTGCCCAGGCTGGAGTGCAGTGGCACAATCATAGCTCACTGCAGCCCTGACCACCCCAGGCTCAGGTGATCCTCCCACCTCAGCATCCCAAGTTGCTAGGCATGTGCCACCATGCCCAGCTAATTTTTGTTTTATTTTTTAATAGAGCCAGGATTTTGCCACGTTCCTCAGGCTAGTCTCCAACTCCTGGGGCTCAAGCAATCTGCCTACCTTGGCCACCCAGAATGCTGGGATTACAGGCATGAGCCACTGCACCTAGCCAACACCACACTTTTACATATACTGAAGGGAACCTAAATAGCCTAAATTTAAAACGTTATTAAAGGAAAAGCTCTGTCAGTAAGATTTTCGCTTTTTAAAATATGCTTTTCGATGAGGTTAACATATGTATAGAAAAGTATACAAAGTACAAGGCAGGGCATAATGAATTTTTACAAAGTGAACACACCTGTGTAACCACCACTCAGACTGTGTATAGAACATTCCCAACATGCCTAAAGTTTCCCTCAGACCGCTACACAGACTATCCCTCAGTCACCCTTGTTTTTAATTCTTCCATTCATTTCCCACAAAGAACAGGTTAGCCTAACATATTTAATACCTGTCTTTTACATCATATCATACCTTCTCTAAAGCAAAATTATACATAGGAATTGAGATATAATTTTATTTTCCTGTGATCATAAGGCTATAACTGTTTATATATACATGACTGATTATCGTTGCAAGTTTTGTAGTATACAATTCATCCAAACACCAATGACACTCAATTCTGTGAACTCCTTCCTGATTATACATCAAAAATCACAAAACAATCTGTCATTAAAATTATGTGTACTGATCTATCAGTTAATAGCTAGATTATATCCTCCCCTTCAATTATTTTAAAAACAAAGAAATAGAAACTACCATCATGCAAAAAGGATTTGTTATGCTATTACTAGAACTCAATTAGACACCAATTTTTTTGTACCTTTCTTTGGAACCCTGAAAATTTCTATACCTAAGGACAATATACCAGACTAAGATTCTAGGTGAGCCATTTTTTAATAAAAATGAAAAAACAGTAACTGTGAAGGGGCAATAAGAAAGGAAAACCCATCATGAGATACTTCCAAGAAGCTCAATTTTAGGAAAGAGAACCAGAAACTCTCTCCTTTAAAGCCGTCCATGTCTGTATCGCCCTTAGAAATTGTTTACTCATGCTCAGCGATATGAACACAACAGTTTGATTTGCAGAGTCCTGTCCTGTATCAAAAATTTCTTTTTCTGGCTGGGCGCAGTGGCTCATGTCTGTAATCCCAGCACTTTGGGAGGCCAAGGCAGGTGGATCACTTGAAGTCAGGAGTTTGAGACCAGCCTGGCCAACATGGTGAAACCACATATCTCCTAAAAGTACAAAATTTAGCTGGGCATGGTGGTGCATGCCTGCAAACAAAGCTACTGAGGAGGCTGAGGCAGAGAATCGCTTGAACTCAGAAGGCAAAGGTTGCTGTGAGCTGAGATTATACCCCCTGCACTCCAGTCTGGGTAACAGAGCGATACTCATCTCAAAAAAAAAAAAAGCTTCTTCTTCATTTTCTTCTTCTTCTTTAAGGACATTAATTACTGCTGCTAGCCACATGCCCCCAATGTCATGTACCTTTAAATGAAGCAAAGCAGCTACAAAGAGCATTACCTTGGAAAGTGATTAACTTTTTGTGCTTCAGAGAGGGTACGAAGTAAGAAGGGCTTCAGGTGGGATCCTGTCCACATTAGGTTATAGTCAGTGCTACTTGGGTGAACCTGAGGGCAGACAGAAAGACAGGAAGGCAAAAAAAACATCAGAGATACCCCTTCTCCAGGAAAAGCAATGGCAGAAAAAGCCACAGTGATTTTTCACCTACAGTGTACTCACAGGGGTGGCCCAATTAGTATGTGAGCCTAGTGAGACAAAAGCAGTGCATCACAGAACAAATTCAAAGAATGGGAGGATTGGGCAAATCCCAGATGCAGAAACTAAGATAAATTAACCCTGCTATAGAAGTCAATGATGTCTCAATATTCTTGCATGTTAAAATATGAGATGAAGGCCCAACCCCAGCTCCTTTCTCAGGCTGTCCTTATTCTTGCAGATACTGAGTATGAAGTGTTAATCAGAAATAAACTTTATAGTAGCATATCAACTTAGAATTCACTCATTCATCCATTAAGATTCATTGGTCCATCATTTCAACAATTAGGCACCGTGCTGAGTGCCAGAAACAAAACAGCAACAAGACAGGACACAAACTGGTATCAGAACTTCCCTCATGCCCATGTGCAGTGGCTCATGCCTGTAATCTCAGCACTTTGGGAGGTCGAGCCAGGAGGATCGCTTGAGTCCAGGAGTTTGAGACCAGCCTAGCAACACAGGGAGACCCTGTCTCTAGAAAAAGAATTTTTTTTTAATTAACCAGGAGTAGTGCCATGCATCTGTAGTACCAACTACTTGGGAGTCTGACGCAGGAGAATCACTGAGTCCAGGAATTCGAGGCTACAGTGAGCTATGATCATGCCATTGTACTCCTGCCTGAGTACGCAGTAAGACTTTGTCTCTAAAAATAAAAAATTTTCTAATTTTAAAAAAAGAGCTTCCTCAAAATATCTCTTAGAACTCTCAAGCTAGGAACGAGACAGTTATCAACTGTCACAAAATATCTATAGTGGAAGTCTGTTCAGCCTTTTGCCTGTCCTTTTTGATGTCAACATTCTAATCTTCCAATTTTCTCTGGAGAATGGTTTACTCCTTGGTTTTCGAGAGCCTGCCAATCACCCACCCCTCCCCTCCCCCAAGAAGTGGATCCATGACCCAAGCTAAGCCAATCATTCTAGCTCCAGAATGTGATTTTTTTTTTAGAAAGGAAAGGCAAAAGGACAATGAATGGAGTCCAGCCACATCCATGGCAGTGCCTTGAGAAGATGATCCTAAAGACTCCTGTTCCTAGATCCCCGGGGCTGTCCTGGTCTCTCTCCTTCAAAAGGCCTGCCTTTTCAGCTTTTTCTCTGATTCCACTAGTCCCCTCTGCATGCCATGCTGACAAATTCCTTTTGGTTTTAAGTTAAGCAAAGTCCATTTCAGTTGTCTGCAATCAAAGAACCTCAATTGGGTATCAGACAATTTCTTATGTACAACTGTGCCCCTGGCCCAAGCCCAAGAACATAGCAAGAAAAAACTTTTTCTAAAATCGTGTGGAAATGTTTTCCATGTAATGCAAGCAGAAACTGGTAAAGCCACTCCGAAATTCAATCTGAGCTCTGCATCATCATTAAGCATTGGTCCCATGTACTTCCTAGAGCTGGCCCTGTTAATTGGTAAAGTCAGTTGGGTGGCTAGGATTTTCAGCTTTTAAGCAGATCAGGTGAGGTAGTAAATATAAACTTACTTCATGAAATCCATGAGCTGTCAGAATGCTGCGTACCAGGCGACTGTCCGTTCGTACAATCTTATAAGACAAATGATAACGTTCTAAAGAAAAACAGAATCAAGCTCAGTAACCAGAAAGTTAACTGTAAAAACAGAAATAAACTGTAACATGGTGGCTTAATTATACTCAATAACATTACATTCTACCATTAAAACGATTATAAATAAGTTGAGCATATTTTGGACCATGGGTTCTTAAAATGAGACTTACTGGAATCATTAGACATGGGTGGGGGAAAGTTACACCTTTGTTTTCACTAGTTTCTAGTTGAAATTTAACAATGTCTTCCATTAGGAATTTAAGCAACAAAGCAGGCAGTATTAACATTATCTGTGACCCTGCCACCAACAGATGTCAGATATTTTAATATTATTTAAAAGTTGTTACAATTATCTCAAAATATCACTTATTCTCACAGTATTTAAAAATTATAGTAGTTAATAGAGCTTCACTAGATTGTGTTATTTAATGCACTAATAAAAAAGCACACATATCACAATTTCTTACAAAAATATTTGATTGGTATATTTCAATACAATGTATTTCCTTTGTAATTATTTACTTTTTACAATCTACTTTAAAACATTCTTCTTCGAAGAGGCCCACAGGCTTCTCCAGACTGCCAAAGGAATCTATTGAACCAAAAAGACTGAAAACCCCTGCTCTAGATAGCCCTCTATCCTATAATGCTGATTACCAGTACATCTTAGACTAGAGGTTAGAAACAGGTAGCCAAAGGGTGAAATCCAGCCTGTACACGTGGTTTGTGTGTTTCTCATGGTGCTCTAAAAATAAAATTGAATTCATTGCTTAGTTTCTGAAATTGAAGGAATTCATGTAAAACTCTAGATTTCTAGGCTTCTCTTAAAAAACCTGGAAACCTGGGCTTTCTTCTCTCCAATGGCCAGAATCAGCTGGAGAACTGCAACTGCCCCATTCAGGACAGGCTGGCACTCCTCAGTTCAGCACAGCGCCTGGCCGGCTTCAATCAATCACATTTCCTGCCAGGGACAAGCAAGCATTAGTATGTGGACTGTACATAATTATATATTTTATATGGCAAATTAAAAAATTAAAATGGGCCAAGCATGGCGGCTCACGCCTGTAATCCCAACATTTTGGGAGGACGAGGTGGGAGGGCTGCTTGAGGCCAGAAATTTGAGTCCAGCCTGGGCAACATAGGAGACCCTGTCTCTACAAAATACAATTTAAAAAATTAGCCAGGTATGATGGTGCATGCCTGCAGTCCCAGCTACTCAGGAAGCTAAGGCAAGAGGGCTGCTTGAGCCCAGGAGGTCAAGGCTGTAGCAGTGAGTTATAATCATGTCACTGCACTTCAGCCTAGGTGACAGGGCAAGACCCTGTTTCAAAAAAAAAAAAAAAAAAGTAAAATGCATTTAATATCATTTCTCCTACTCCTCCTAAAAGAAAAATACAATTGCCACCACACTCAGTGGCAAATCAGATTCTCACGGCAAATCATATTCTTAAGTAGTAAGCAGTGACAAGCCACTTCTAATCCATTATCACCTAACTATAACCCAATTCAGATATACTGAACATGCTCCAAAAAAGGAAGGGTGAAATGATATAATGCAAACATCACTGCTGGAGATTTTAAGTTCATATATACCCTGTGTCTGGTAGCCCTCTGTGTGCAATAAAGCTGGTGGATAGTATATTTTAGTTTAGAGGTTATAAATTGGTGACACAGAATCAGACCCAGCCTGCAGATGTGGTCTGTCACTCAGATGCTTTAAAATAAAACTGAATTAGTTGCAAGCCTTTGAAAATTGGAAGAATTCATATAAAAATCTAGATTTCTAGGCTTCTCTTAAGAAACCTGGAAATGATGGTTATTTTTATGTGCCAACTTAACTGGGTCATAGGATGCCCAGATACCTGGTTAAACTTTATTTATAGGTGTCTGTGAGGGTGTCTCCAGAAGAGATGAGCATTTGGGGACTGAGTAAAGCTGACTGCCCTCCCAAATGTGGGTGGGAATCATCTAATCCATTGAGGGCCAGAATAGAAAAGGGTAATTGGTTGAGTTCTCTCTCTGCCTGATTGGTTGAGCTGGGACATAGATCTTCTCTGCCTTCAGCACTCCTGGTTCTCAGGAATTTAGACTCAGAGTGGAATCTATACCACTGGCTCTTTGGCTCTCAGGCCTTCAAACGGGACCAACAACTTCCCTGGGTCTCCAGCTTGCAGATGGCAGATGATGAGACTTTTTAGTTTATATAATTACATAAACCAATAACCTTATAACAACAGTCATTCTCCCTTCTTCCTCCCCGACTCCTTGTATCCTATTGCTTCTGTTTCTCTGGAGCACCCTGGCTAATACGTACCGGGGCCTTCTCTCCCATAACAAGAGCCCTGACTAATATGCCTAGGCTTTCTCTCCCAAGACAAGAGTCAAATGGAAGATTGCAACTGTAAACTGAAGCTGCCCAATTGCCTAAGTACCACGTCATCCCGTGTTTTCTTCTGTATAAAAACATGAGGCAGAGCATGGTCCTCCTTGACTACTAGCAAATGGCCAAATATCCTACTTCTAAGCGTCTTAACGTGCATCACATCAATTCCACCAGGAAAGCACAGAATTTCCTCTTCTGCAACCACTCACATGTGTCCCTAGAGGCGACTTGAAGTGCTAGGACCCCTGGCAAGTTCGAGGACTGACCGCAGCAGAGCAAATGAAAACAAACCAATAATCTGTCAACACAGAAGTACCTAGAAAGCAGTGATTTGCCTTAAAGCATTTAAACAAAAATAGCATGGGGAATCAGAAGAAAGAGAAAGCTGACATTTTTGACTAAGAACACAAAAATAACTCCCTTAATGGCAACATAGTATAGCTGTGCCCTAGTATCAGAAAATTAGGTTCCCTAGGACTAGGATTAAGATACCTGTGCTGTCTAATGCGTGTGACTAATAAGCACTTGAAATGTGCCTAGTGGGACAAAGGAACTGAATTTTTAATTTTATTTAACTGTAGTTAATTTAAATTTAAAAATGAACACTTGATTCAATTACTGGAAATCCTATTTCAAACGACTTGCCTGTGGGGAAGGGAAGAAACAACGGAGTGTACAAATTTACTTTTTCAACTACAACAGCTATAAAATCTAAATACAGACCTAATATTTCCAACGAAAATTTTGCAGCAAGTTGAGATGCTCCATTATGTTAAAATATATACTAGATGTAAAATATCTTTTTAATGATTTTTTTATATTGAGTGAATGTGGAAATGATAATATTCTGGAACATATTAGGTTAAATAAAATATATTATTAAAATTAATTTCACCTACCTGTTTCCTTTTACTTTTAAAAATAATGCTATTAGAAAATTTCAAATAACATATATAGCTTGCGTCATACATCTATTGCTAGTCTATATAAATACAAACTTACTAAACAAATACCTTCAGGGGCAAATTGCAAAAAAATGCTTTATTCTAGGAGATGTTTACTTTAAGCTGAAAATACCTATGTTGCCTCTAATATACAATCCCATTTACACATTTAAAGTACATACAAAAAAACCAAGGTTACGATAAAGAAAAAGCCACATTCTTGAAATATTTCACAAAACATTAGAAATCATATTGTACCAAAAATATTAATAGCGAATTCAATGAAACATATAAAGAGAAAAGATAAAACTGGTATCTATCATGATGAGATCAACAGAAGGTAACTAATGCCCCAGATACACTTCTCAGGGGGATTTAACCACAGGCTTATGATTTGAGCAGATCTATGTCAGCTATTTAAGAGAGCAAAAAAAAAAAGTTGCAGATTGAGTATTTAACAATAGAGAAAACTGAGACAGCAACTAGCAAAAGTCATTCAAATTATTCTTTTCATTAAGGAAGGTGAAGAAAATTGTTAAGCCACAAGGAACTGGGAAAGACACAGAAAACTCAAAAACAGAATTTGAGAAAAGTTTAGTTGCTTTTTCTTTATCACAGGAATGTATAAAGAAGACGACTTATAGATTCTAAAAAAAAGTAATTGCTTAAATAGGTGACATGGATGGATATTATTTTCCAATAAATGTTAGGTAATCTAAAAAAGAAGGGTCTGCCTATTGGCATAGAATACGACTACTTTATGTGACAAGCAGACGAAAAGAAGTACGTTTGGGGGGAGTATCTGTCTTCATCCACCTTTAACATTTTGGCTCAAATCATATTTAGGAGTTTCTCAACAAGGGGTCTTCAGTTGCTCAGGCTTCAGGGAACATGAATGAACTACATCCCTTTAAATGGTAACCTAGCAACTTGCTGAGGGGATTAGAACCCAAGGATCCTTGGGGAGGAAGGAGGATTCAAATCCCAGAAGCAAATGCTCACAGTCCTCTGAACTCCTGAATTATCATGGGACAATGACAAAAGTCATTAGCACAGATCTTATTCAATCAGTAAAATAAGCAGCACGAGTTTTGAGTGCCTACTATGTGTCAGACATTAAATGATCTCATGTAATCCTCACAACACCTGCAAGGCAGATATTCTCTCCATTCTACTAACAATAAAACTAGTTAAGAGAGTCTAAGTCATTTGCCCAAGACTCACAGCTAGGAAATGCCAAGGCTGGGATTTGAACGAATGACTAAGAATCCAAGGGTACACTCTTTCCACTATACCACAAGATGGTTCTGATCCAGTGTTATAACCTGTGAAGATGGCTACAGGCTAACACCAGGACTCAGAGCAGTGCTTAAAATATAAGAGGAGCAGGGATAAATGAAACTGATAATATACAAACAATACAGAAAACAGGAGAAATCAAAAGTTGGATTTTTAAAGCTGGGTCTTTAAAATGATCAACAAAGCCAGGTGCAAAGTCTCATACCTATAATCCCAACACTTTAGGAGACTGAGCTAGGAGGGCTACTTGAGGCCAGGACTTCAAGACCAGCCTGAGCAACACAGAGACCACATCTCTACAAAAACCTCTTTTTTAAAACTAGTTAGGCATGGTGGTGTGTGCCCGTAGACCTAGCTACTCAGGAGGCTGGGGCAGGAGGATCACGTAAGCCCAGGAGTTTGAGGTTGCAGTGAGCTAGGATGGCACCACTGCACTCCAGCATGGGTGACAGAGTGAGACCTTGTCACTAAAAAAAAAAAAAAAAAAAAAATTAAAAATTATCAATGAAATTGACAAACCTCTAGCTAGACTAAGGAAAAAAGAGAAAAGACTGAAATAACTAAAATCAGAAGTGAACGTAGGGGCATTATTACAGACCTTACAGAAATTAAAAGGATTATAAAAGAATACTATGAACAATTGTATGCAAACAAACTAGACAAGCTAAATAAAATGGATAAATACCTAGAAATACATAAACTACCAAAACTGATTTAAGAAGAAATAGAAAACATGAATAGACCTACAACAAGCAGAAGTTGAAGGGAACCCATTCTATGAGGCCAGCATTACCTTGACACCAAAGCCAGAAAAAGGCATCAGAAGAAAACTATAAATCAACATCCCTTATAAATACAGACAAAAAATGTTCAACAAAATATTAGCAATTATACACTCTGACAAAGTGGGATTTATCTCGGAATATAAGGGAGGTTCAACATATAAAAGTCAGTCAGTGTAACATACCACATTAATAGGATGAAAACGGAAATATAATTTCATTTGATGGAGAAAAGCATTTGACTAATACCTTTTCATGATAAAAATATACAGCAAACTAGGAATAGAAGCAAGCTTTCTCAACATGTAAAAGGATACTTACGAAAAACCCACAGCTAATATCACACCCAATAGAAAACAGAAAGCTTTCTTCCTATGATCAAGAACAAGACAAAGATGCCCTCTTTCTATTCAACACTGTACTAGAAATTCTAGCCAGAACAATTAGGGAAGAAAAAGAAATAAAAGGCATCCAGATTGGACAGAAAGAACTAAAATTCTCTCTATTTGCACATAATATGCAGACAAACCTAAACACAAAAACTATTAGGGCTAATAAATGAGTTCAACAAGGTTTCAGGATGCAACATCAATATAAAGAACTCAGTTGTATTTCTATACACTAGCAGTGAATAACCCAAAAAATGAAATTGAGAAAACAGTTCTGTTTGCAATAACATCAAAAAGAATAAAATATTTAGGAATGAATTTAACCAACAGGGAACAAGACTTGTACACAGAGAACTATAAAACACTGATGAAATTAAAGAAGTCCCCAAAATTGGAAAGACATCTCATGTTTATAGAAGACTTAACACAGTTAAAATGGCAATGCCCTCGGAAGTGATTTATAGATTCAATGCACTCCCTATCAACATCGTAACAGCCATTTTTGAAGAAATGTCTTTTGTCATGTTGAAAGGCTTGCTTAAGACATATCTGGTCTAATATCCATAACATATAAAACTCTTATAACTCAACAATGATAAAGACAACTCAATTTTTAAAATGAAAAAAGGACTTGAATAATCATTTCTCCAAAGAAAATACACAAATGGCCAAAAAGGACATGAAAAGATATTCAATGTCATTACTCATTAGGAAATGCAAATCAAAACCACAGCCAGATACCACATCACATCCACTGGTATGGCTATAATCTCAAAAACAGAAAATAACAAATATTAGTGAGGATGTGGAGAAACTGGAACCCCTATACATTGTTGATGGGCATGTAAAATGGTGCAGCTGCTATGGGAAACAGTTTGACACAAAATAAGTTAAACACAGAATTATACCATATGGCCTACCAATTCCATTCCTAGGTATGCCCAAAGAGCTGAAGATGGGTGTCCAATAACAACTTTCCCATGAACATTCATAGCAGCACAATTCACAACAGACAAAAGGTGGAAACGGGCCGGGCACAGCGGCTCATCCATGAAACCAAGGCAGGATTGCTAAGGACAAAAGTTTGAGATCAACATGGGCAACACAGTGAGACCCTGTATCAAAAAAATAAAATTTTAAAAATAAAATTTTTAGAAAAAGGTGGAAACAAAAAAAAAATGTACAACAACTGATGACTGGAAAAAAATTTCAGAGGAAAACAAAATGTGGTGTATCATTGGAATATATTCACTAGTATGCAATAAATGTTATTCAGCCATAAAAAGGAATGGAGGACTGATACATACTCCAACCTGGATGAACCTCGAAAACATTATGCTAAGTGAAAGGAAGCCCAACAAAAAAGGCCACATATCACATGACTCCATTTATACAAAATATCCAGAATATGCAAATCTATAAAAACAGAAAATAGATTAGTGTTTGCCAGGGACTGGTGGTATGGGGGCTGGGATAACTACTTAATTGGTATAGGCTGTATTTTTGGGATGATGAGAACGTTCTGGAACTAGACAGTGGTGATAGCTGCACAATACTGTGAATATACTAAACAACAATGACTTGTACACTCTAAAATGGTTAAAATTGTAAATTTTCTTATGCACATTTTGCCACAATAAAAAAATAAACACATGCACACATGATTCTGGAAAAAAAAATTCAGAGGAAAAACATAAGCAGAAAACAATTTAAGAAATTATAATATTTGAGTACAACAACTCCACCGATTTTACTCACGGCCAAGGCTCTTTCCCTATATATATGTCATATCAATTTTTTCAAGACCAGGATGTCCAGGCCATGCCCAGCTCCATCCCCTGTGGGAGAAGTTATACCCACCTCCGATTACTCTCATATTGTTGTCCTTTGTCAGAATAGCCTCAGCATGGAATACCAAAACTGGAATTCTCCTGCAGCCTCCAGTCCACATGATACATGGATGATCCCTATAACCACAACAAAAGCCTTCATTAATTTACAGCTCAAAATCTGAACTGCTGATGTAGATTACTATGGTTTGTTGCTTTGCAAGTTTTCCCTTACTTCTGGAATAAAAAATCCCAAATACCTGGTGGGAAATCATATCTCCCATTCTTAGCTGTGTATTTAAAATTAACTCTATCCCTGGTCCAGGGATGGGCCTTGATTGGTTTCAGCCAATCAAGGTATTTCATCATTCAATATAGTTATTGGTTCAGAGATAGGCACATAAACCAACTGGAGCCCATGAGTTTAAGGAGACATGTTCTGAGACTGTGAGAAAGCAATGGCTTCTTTCTCTTCTGTAGTGGCTACAGAGCCTGTCTTCCTCTTTATGGTACAGGAGGAGAATGAGAAGTATGGAACTGCAACAACCATTTTGTGATCTTGAAGGGAGAGCCTTAGCTGTTGGTGAGGGAGAAAGTCAGCAGGAGCCTGACTGAAGAAATCGAGATCCTGGGTGTTAAAGCGGGAGTTTCAGAATCAAGACGTGCTTAAATATGAGTGAACATATTCTCTCTATTACCTAGGACCACTGGATTATGTTTTAATTCTTTGTGCACACAAAGAATCCTAACTGAGTTCACAATAATTTACATACCCCTTTTACACTCTATAGTACATTTTCAAGCCAATTGGATGATGCATCCTAAGATTCTGAGCTAGGAACTCTAAATTAATACAAGTATCCCAATTAAAATCATGTATTTTGGCCAAGTGCAGTGAGCCACGCCTGTAATCCCAGCACTCTGGGAGGCCAAGGAGGGTGGATCATCTGAGACCAGGAGTTTGTGACCAGCCTGGCCAACATGGTGAAACCTCGTCCCTACTAAAAATACAAAAAATTAGCCACATGGGGTGGTAGGCGCCTATAATCCCAGCTACTTGAGAGGCTGAGGCAGAAGAATCAATTGAACCTGGGAGGCAGAGGTTGTGGTAAGCCGAGATCGTGCCATTGCACTCCAGCCTGGGCAACAAAAGTGTAACTCTGTCCCAAAAAATAAATAAATAAAATAAAATAACACATTTTAAAGAAAGCCCATGCTAAATGGAACAATATATATTTTCCTCCAGTATAAAACCACAGGAGAGAAAGAGACTTCTGACTTTATTCTCTTTCCCTATCCTCAGGAAATCTCAGCTTAATTTTAGGCTGACAGATATTTACTCAAAGATTAGGAAAATCTTCACCCTCATTAGGGCAGGGAGGTAGGAAGAGAAAGAAAATTAAATGAACTGAATCCCTACTATGTGCCAGGATTTACACTAAGAGCTTTCACATCTCACTTAATCGCCTTGCTCATACTACAAACTAAAGAAAAACTGTCTCAGAAAGGTTAAGTAACCTGCCTAAGGTCATACAGCTGGTTAAATAAGGGATGAGGTATTTGAACCCAACATCTGTATTCTTTCTACTGTTTGCCTCCTTAATGGCATTTCAGCAAAGTTCTATATATTGAATACCTTGGATTCAATTCTTTGAGAACTTAAACTAACCAATTCCTTAAATGCAATACAATCCATTTGGCAAAGATTCATTCAATTCTTAAAAACTCACATAACCACATCACTTAACAAGGGCCGCACCACAAATCTCAGGGCCAAGTCCCTCCCAATCCAACTTTAAAAAGATCCACACTCTGAATGCACAGTCTTTCAGGCTCCCAATCCTACGAGTGAAGCAGTCTTTCGACTTTAGCAAGTTGCCAACTGCTTTTTAGTGAAGAACGCAAACAACACCATACCTAGTTCATTCCCTGTTTTCTAGAAATGGCAGGTAGATGCTTATTTTTCTTGTCCTTCAACTTGGTGACAGTACACACTTGTGAGAAATGGTGTTGATAGGGTACCTTTTTCAGCAAGAAAGATTTTTTTGTGGCTTGCTTGCTTCTTCAACACCTGTAAAATGTAGGCATGAAGCCAGCTGATTCCTATGATCTCTTCCAACATTAATTTTTCCACTATATTTCTAAATCAGCAAGTACAGAAAAAACAGGCGGCCTACAAAGTCTTGGACAGGAACTCTGGAAATTATCCAAAGTTCTCTGTCTATCTAGCACTAGCTACCAACTGGCACCACTATGCCTTAGCATTTACAAACAATGGACTGCTGCTCCAACTTAAAAATGCCTGACAGGAGGAACACAATAAACAGATACACAGCTGAGAAGAGCCCAGGCCCTAACTGTACTATCTGTGGAAAGACAAGTCTCCAACAGAGAAATCTTTCACTTACAACCTGTGGAAAGATAAAAGAGGGAGTAAACAGTAAGGTCAGCTAAATAACACTTAAGACATACGTGAAACTGTCATGAAAAACATGCTCCCACCAAGTGGTGCTAAAAGGAAAAACATTCAGAATGATTAGGAAACTGAAAATTGGGACTTTAAATTTTCATACACATCAGAAACTGGTATATATTAAAATCTACTTTTATAAGCATGAAAGAACAAAGAATTTGAATAATTAATTGCCAAAGTAAATCGGTTTTGTGCTTTGCTTTATTGAAAGCCTAAAAACATTTTGGTTTTCCAGGAATAATTTTATGAGAAATAGACATCATTCACTCCTGGGACTCAGCCTACATAACTCAAAGACGGAACTGTGAGCAGCTTTTGCATTCTTGCTTCTAGGCCGTCTTCATACCATCACCCCATTAGAAATGCCTTCCCCACTTCTCTCTGTTCATCTAAGCCCACTCTCCAAGGCCCACCCAAAGTCTCACCACCTGCAGGCAGCCTTCCCCAGCTCCTTCAGCCCATTAAGATACCTTCTTCTCTGAACTTCCATAGCACCCACTTTATAATAGATTGTTGATCTTTTTAACTGATATAAAGCCAGCCTTTTACAACAGCAATTAAAGTTGACATTTTTTCAATGACCAAAGAAATCTTACATTACATTCTTATAAGAAAGTTTCTTTTTTTTTTTTTTTTTTGAGACGGAGTTTCACTCTTGTTACCCAGGCTGGAGTGCAATGGCGCAATCTCGGCTCACCGCAACCTCCGCCTCCTGGGTTCAGGCAATTCTCCTGCCTCAGCCTCCTGAGTAGCTGGGATTACAGGCACGCGCCACCATGCCCGGCTAATGTTTTTGTATTTTTAGTAGAGACGGGGTTTCACCATGTTGACCAGGATGGTCTCGATCTCTTGACCTCGTGATCCACCCGCCTCGGCCTCCCAAAGTGCTGGGATTACAGGCTTGAGCCACCACGCCCGGCCTAGAAAGTTTCTATATCTATATACAAAGTGGTATTAGGGATCCCCAAGCAAAATATAGAAAAATAGCCTCTTTACATTTTCTATTTGAAACAATGCCATGCAAAACAAGGACTGCCTGGACAGTTTCTATTCCTGAAGTCCAAATTGCAAGAAATTAATACTTTAACACAGCAGAGGGATCTGAGCAGATCTAACAGATGTCCATGGATACACATCTTTGGATCAAGTCAACATCTTCAGATGATTTAAGGCCTTCAAACTTCCAAATCAACTTTTAAAATGTAAGCCTGCTTCAGGTGTGAATAAGATTGATTTAAGCTTCCTAATCCAAAAAATAAGTGTCTGATAGACAAGACATAAGCTGATGAAACAAGATTAACAGTTAAAAATCAACAGGAGTTTGAAAGGAAGAAGAGGTCCATAAATTTGGATGGGAGCAGAGAGAAAATTATACCTTTATTTTCACTAATTTTTACCAGAAATTCAGTATTTCTTAATTATGAATACAGGCAACAAACCATAGTAGTACTGGCATTATATGTGCCTTTGATGTTAGCTAAAATGACAGCTTTTTTGGTGGTTTTTTTTTTTTTTTTTTTTTTTTGAGACAGAGTCTCACTCTGTCAACCAGGCTGGAGTGCAGTGGTGTGATCTCGGCTCACTGCAACCTCTGCCTCCTGGATTCAACCGATTCTCTTGCCTCAGCCTCTTGAGTGGCCGGGATGACAGGTGCTCGCCACCACATCCGGCTAATTTTTGTATTTTTAGTAGAGTCGGGGTTTCGCCATGTTGGCCAGGTTGGCCTTGAACTCTCGACCACAAGTGATCTGCCCACCTCAGCCTCCCAAAGTGCTGGGATTACGGGCATGAACCACTGTGCCCGGTCAATTACAGGTATTTTTATATCTTATTACAGGTGTTGCAGATATCTCAAAATATCATTTACACTTAACACCACTTCTAAGTTATAGTAGTTTAAGACTCACCCCCTAGATCACATGTGACCATGGTCTTTCTATCTAAATGCTAGTGTGATGAGGCTGGACAATAATCGGGCAACTCTCCTCCTAAAAATCATTCAGTCACTAAAAGATGACACCTCATACTGGTGCCCCAGACATCTATGCTGCTTCCCAGTACTCCCCATCTATAATGGTTAATCAAAGACCACCATCTCAGTGTACTGATCCTATACAAACAACAAAAACAGTCGTCATGCTGTTGTCTTTAGCGTGAAGACAACACGCTAAAGTTAAAACAAAATTTAACTTTCCCAGATTTTAAATGATCTTATTATTTAATGCATTAGTAAAACAGCACATATTACTATATTACAAATTTGTTTTAATAACTGCATTTGAATGTAATTAGTACTCTTTGCAATGACATGTACTTTATTTTAAGCCTCAGAAATATTCTGGTAAGGAATCCATGGCATAAAAAGGGTTAACAACTCTGATCTAAGGTAATATAAAGTATAAAGCCTTCATTTATTCATTCATTTCATTATTCTGTCGGCAAGAATTTACTAAGTTCCAACTATAATATTAGGTCAAACTATTTCCAATTGTCAGTATTTGACTGTTTCTGACCTACCAAAATGGCAGTTTCATATAGTTCAATTTAACATTTGTCAGGCCCAATCTGTAAGCCCACTAATAAAAGAGACAGTAATGGTGGTAAAGAACAACCTTTAAAAAGGGAAAGACTGATACCTGCAGCAGAAATTTGAAGCTTTGTGAAATGGGTAAGAGGCAGCACACTAAAAGCAAAAAGTCAGAAGAAGGGAAAGTAACCAAAGGGAATTATCCATTTAATTATCCCGAACAAGAATGACCCAAATATACTGTCAAATCTCTATTATTTTCTGTGACCTAACAGTGATAAGAAATATTTCCTCAAAGCTTTCTTAATGCTTCAAAAATTTTTTTCAAATTACAGTAAGTACTCTTCTACCTTATAAGAAGGCCACCACAAATTTCATTATTAAAACCAATAAAAATAATGCCTCATTTGTATAGCACTTACAAAGTAATTTCACACACATTATTCCATTTGAGTTTCACCAGACCCCTACAAAATACCGTGGGAGATATTATCTCTCTTTTTCAGATTACACAGCACACATGTATCCAAAAGGAATCATGGAGAATCTTAAAAATAAATTTTACCTTTAAACCAGATTCTCTCTTTACTCTGTCAAGTAATAATTAAAGGAGGCAAAAAAGCAAAGTGACCAAAATCCAGAAAAGCTAAGTCTGAATCTCAATGCATCAACTACTCTCTATGGGTCGCTGGGGAAATCTCCGGATATTTATGACTGAATTTAAAAAGTGAAAATAGTAACACCTTCAGATTTAAAAAGATATAAGATACAGATGAGACAAAGCCTTTACTGTCATTTATAGTAGCTATACTTACCATTATCACTCTTTTTTTTTTTTTGAGACTTGCTGTCCAGGCTAGAGCGCAATGGTGCGATTTCAGCTCACTGCAACCTCCGCCTCCCAGGGTTAAGCGAGTCTCCTGCCTCAGCCTCCCAAATAGCCAAGATTACAGGCACCTGTCACCACTCCCAGCTAATTTTTGTATTTTTAGTAGAGATGGGGTTTCGCCATGTTGGCCAGGCTGGTCTCAAACTCCTGACCTGAGGTGATCCACCCGTCTCAGCCACCCAAAGTGCTGAGTTTCAGGTGTGAGCCACCACACCCAGCCATTATCATTCATTTTTATTGTGATGATCCAATAATCATGAAATTGGACTCTTAACTAAAAGAACTCAGGAAAGCAATGTGGTTCAATGGACACAGTACAGGCTACAGAATTCTAATACCTTGTCTCAGAGTTACTATGGTAAGTTACCTGACATCTCTATATTAACACCATTTTATCATTGTAAAGGCTTTTGAGAAAATCAGCAAATGTAACTAATGCCATAGAGTTTCGGCATGTTTTTCTTCAATATTGAAACATTTCAAAATCTCCTAAATTGGGAGCTCTGAGCAACAGTTCACCAAGAGCCACTACCTGCATTTGACAACATCTAGAGCTGGTGTTCACTTATGAGCCCAGAAAGAGAGCCTTATCTCATTTCTCATAACTGATAGGGACTGAATAATAAGACTTTAAATTACATTACGAATAGAAGCTAAAACCAGAGTTAGATAGTACCCAAGGAATGACACTAGATAAAAGAATATATAAGTAAAAGAGAACTATTTTTCATCCTAAAAGCACAGGTCAAAAGCAGGCTTGCTGTTACTTACTCTTGACTTATGACCTCCTCATCCTCTGAGGATGCTGTTTCCTCCAGGTCCCGGGCCATCACGATTGGCATTTCCTTTAGGGTTTGTCATACAGTCAGCAGACAGGGGCCTCAGAGACCTTTCCTAGAAGATTCACCAGATCAAGCAATTTGGATGGCACAGATTCCTGCAAGAAATTAACTTGATCTGATCAACTGACCTGAAACACAATGCCGTTGTCTATTGGTTATTGCTGATCATCTAAGTAATGAGGATGACTATATTCCTAAATAGTGCCCAACCTCTAGAAGTTTACCTTCCATCACAATGCCTCACTATGCCACAAAAATCAAGATTTTTTTTGAACATACTGTCTGTGTGCTATATATTTGAATAGCTGTTACTAAGTTTGAGTTTCTCATTATTGACTAAATCTAATATGCACCAAAAAGATAGACTCTTCACTTTCAGGGCAGTCTGCGGTAGGTGACTGATTCCCTAAAATATATATTCCTTGCTAGACAAACCTGACCTGGGTTAAAAACAAATAAATAAAAACTCAAGGTTTAAGACCCTTGCAAACATTTATTTAGACTTTATGACAAGCACGCTGACAAGACGCTATCACGTTTCCAGTAAAATAAATTCAACAATGAACTGAAAGACGAATATATTCTCCTGAATCAAAGGTCATATAAATAGTTGGTGGGGGAGGGGACAATGCCCTTCCACTCTTAAAAATTATTCTTCCTTACTAAAAATCACGAACTTTGATATGACTCTGGAATGGGCAATAAAATTGGGAAATTTCCAACACTATATTTCTAACTTAAAATATTTTTTTCCAAAGGAAAAAAAGTACACGTTCGTTGTGTGTGTCAGAAGAAACAGGAGCTACAAATAAAGAAAATGAACATGTTTAAATGACCATAATCCCATTACTCAGAGATAATGACTTGGTGTCAATCCTTCTCAACTTTTTCATGCATTCATAAATACGATGAGACTGTAAATAAGACACACACACACACACACACACACACACACACCCCGACCCTGATAATGATCCCTACAGATCTTCGGCGCAGTGGGCAATGTCTAACAACTTCAATGGCTTTCTTCCGGGGATTCTCAGCGGGATCACACACACACCGACCCTGATAATGATCCATACAGATCTTCGGCGCAGTGGGCAATGTCTAACAACTTCAATGGCTTTCTTCGGGGGATTCTCAGTGGGATTTCTCAATCTTTCCCAAAATGTTGGGAAATCCTTTAAGTTTAAACAAACAAAACCTCCAAAAGGTAAGGAATGCCAACCTTTCCTAGGCTGCCGGCAGAGCGGGGAGAAATAGGTCGATCGGAAGAAGATTAGAGACACTCGCCTAAGCAGACTTCTCGCCCTAAAGGAATCTGCTTCTCAGCCCCACCCCCAGCTCACCCCAGTCGCAGGTAGGTCTGCAGATGCTCTCCCCGGGAAGGACAGGACGACCCCGCCGCCGCGATTCAACGCTGCGTGCCCGGAAGCCAATAACTACTCCCGGGCTCTGAGCGGGAAGTGCGGCGGCCAGCGCCAGCCCGGACCCGGGAAGGCTCCTCCCCGGGGTAGGGAAGCGCGCCGGCGCAGGCGTTTACCTGTCTCATCTTCCCATGGTTCAAGCGGGCAGGCGTGGACCACACTCTGCTCCTACCTCTCTCTTCTTTCCCCAGCAGGGCTCCGGGCAGCCGCCGACTGCTGCTTCCCCGGTTACTACAACAACCAACAAGCAACCGCCCGCTCGGAGCCACTGCGCAGGCGCCCGCCACCCGGCGCTGACAACGCGCGGCTGCAGGCGCGGGCGAATGTCGTCACCGCCGCGCACGCGGGCGCAGAGCCCTGCCCTCAGCAGAAGGGAGTCTTCTTTTTTTCCGCTGTTTTTTTCTCCGCCCCTAAGAGGTTGACTCCAAACCCGGAGTTCCGCTAGGTCCAACAGGAGGGCTTACTGCGTGAGCGGCGTACCTGAGGAGAGGCTTAGGCAGCGGCAACTGCTGATTGGCAGTAAAGGGGTTCACTCCCTATCTCCTGCTTGGGCAAAACCGGGACAGCCAATCACAGAGAGGACTGACAGAAACGACCCAATCCTGGAGCAGGGCTGAGGGAGGGGGCGGGGACAAATGGCTCAGGTGGACTCCCGGCTGGAGCTGTCCTGGGGGAGCTTGTTTGCGGCGGCTGCTGCTGCCACGCCTGTACTGGGGGTCCGGTCGCCAGGTAAGGAGAATATGGAGGATTAAAGGGATGTAGGTGTCTGTGTGGCTTCTGATTGAGAGGATCCGGAAAGTCTGGAAAAATGGAGGTGGGATGGAAGGAAGATACCTGGAAGGCAACCTTTTGGGGGGAAAGGGTTCGAGAGGCGATAACGAGGGGGAGCTAGGAAGGTGGAGAAGGTTTAGTGAATTCAAGGAACGAAGGAATGGATGAGCGAATGAGCAGCCACTATGAGCCTGGCACTGTACAAAGAGCCTTCACTTTTTCTCATATAATTCTTACAATAATCCTCGTTAAGAAATATCAATGGGTTGATATTTCTGTCTCCGTTTTGCAGATGAGGAAACCGAGAATGAAAAGTGTAAGTGACTTGCCCAGGGTCACACAGCTACTAAGTGGTAGGGCCAGGATAAGAATCCCTTTCTTCTGATTAAATTTTAACACCACACCTATGCTGGGCTGGGCTGGGCCGGGCCAGGGCCAGGACAAAATTTGGAAATAGATGTTGTATATATGCTAGGAGGTCCTAAAGCTTTAGGGAAATTAGGTTGAGAAATTGGCAGAGCAATTCAGAAGTGCGCAGACTCTGTCCTTATCAGCTATCTGTTGGAATTTCTAAGAGCTTCTGTGAAATGGAAGGATACATTTTGCAGAAAAGTGGAGAGGGGCATCCATGCATCTTTTCTAAACCCTGGAGGAGTCTCCTCTTGAAAGAGGGTGAGAAAATAAAGACGGTAGGTGGATTTTGGCCCAAGTGATAATGGCCTATAATGTCTAGTAGACCCTCAGTCTCTGTGGTCTTGGACAGAGCCCACCTTTGTGATCCAGCTCTCCCTGAAGGGTGCATCAATTCACCATTCCTTCTCTAGATCTCTTGTTTGTTTGTTTGTTTGTTTGGGGTTTTTTTTGTGTTTCACACTGTCTTGGGCCATCACTGACTTTAGTATCTATCTCACTGGGTAGCGTAGAACAATACTGAAACTTACGTTGCCTGACAACAGATAAACCATGGGCCAAGAAGATAATGAGGATGGGAAAAAGTCATCCCATTATTAAATTATTTATCTATTTTGGTTTTATTTAAATCAGACTGACTGAAATCACTACTCAACAAGAGTTGATCTAAGCCTTTAAAAAAAAAAAAAAAGAGGGTGCAGTGGCTCACACCTGTAATCCCAGCAATTTCGGAGGCCAAGGTGAGTGGTTGACTTGAGTCCAAGAGTTCAAGACCAGCCTGGGCAATGTGGCAAAACCTCATCTCTACAAAAAAATACAAAATTAGCCAGATGTTGTAGCACATGCATATAGTCTGAGCTACTAGAGAGGTTGAGGTGGGAGGATCACTGAAGCCTGGGATGTCGAAGCTGCAATGAGCCATGACCATACCACTGCACTCCAGTGTGGGTGACAGAGTAAGATCCCATCTCAAAAAAATAAAAAAATAAAAAACAAAAAGTATCTAATTGTATTTTCTACACAACTTGAAGACAAAAGCGGATATGGTATGCTTTTCTTTCTCAAAAATGGGAACTTCATTAAAATAGTCTCAAACAGTGAGGTAGCATTGCAAGAGTCCAACAGACCATGATTCTTAGCTCTGCCAACTTTGCTGCGTGACCTTAAGAAACTCATTTAACCTTTCTGTTCCAACCATCATCTGTAGGGTAGAAATATTAATAGAGCCTGTCAGCCTCCCTGTAAGGATTAAATGGTAATATATGGTAGGTGCTTGGCATAGTTCATGGTGTAAGTGCTTGATGACTGAAACCTATTATTCTTTTGCAAGCCAACACCAGAATTGCTATTTCCTTTGCTATATAATTTTCTTACTAGTCCTAAAGTCACACGTTAACTTAAAACACACAATTTATAAATCTGGAAAAGGAAAAGAGGCTTTATCTCTTGCAAAGGCTCATAGCCATCCCACAGGGAAGAGTGCCTCCCACCAAGACCAGAGACAGGTACTTTGAAGGAGAAGGGTTTGGGGTAGAGCTTTATGCTGGACAGGTTGGCTAAACATACATATTCAACAGGTTCCAGGAGGAGCTATGAATATTCATGAAGGTGGTCCTGATACGTGCATATTGAACAAACATGCATGTAACCACATATGACCCTTGTTCACTTTGGAGTGGAGCCCTCACATTGAAGTCAATTACAGCTAGGTGCTGTAGGTCAAGAAGTCTTTTCAGGACACCAAGACACTCAAGTGTGTGATCTTGGTAAACTGGCCAGGAGCAGTCCACAGTCAGTGATCTTATCTGAAGAAAGTTACTGAAATCCGTCACTTGTCCAATCAAAGCTGTAGTCACAACAGGTGGAACAGGGGTCAGGTAGTCAGCCTTTGTGAGCTGGATGAGCCACAGTTGTCTTAATATTGCTTATCTCAAGGCCAGTGCTTGTCTAAATGCTTTAGAAAAAAACCTGATGGCAGAATATAAGTTGTATTCTTTAAGTGTCGGAGTGTGTGACTTAACCCTTGCCTGGCATGGCCTTAGGTCTTGTTTATAATTTGGTAACATTTTGCACAAAGAACCTGTTGTCAGTCTTATGATCTGTATGTTAACGTAAATGCTGGTAAGTTGCTGTCCCTAAATCTGAAAAGGGAAAGAATATAACAGGGCATGTTAGATCTCCCATCTCATCATGGCCAGGACCTTAGTTTTAGGATTTTTCTGGGGTCCCCTAGGCCAAGAGGGGCTCTTTTCAGTCCGTGGTAGGCTTAGGATTTTATTTTGAGTTGACACACAGCAGTTTATTTATGTTTAACTTTTAGATTGTTTTTCTAGTTTACGGAGCATGGTATACCTGAGAAGCAGAGTCTAGAAAACCTAGGGATGTACATAGTGACCTCACCCCACAAGTTCCACTCAAATGTATAAAGCTCTACAGGCTTGGAAGAAATCCGTTATCAATAGCCAGGCAGGTGTCTGTGCGTATAGTTAGAATCACCTTTGAGCTACTTGTATTTCAAAGGAGTGGCATGAAAACGTGAAGGTATAGAAGTGAAGATAGAGGACTGATTCCAACCCAGAGGAGGAGTTCTGATTTAGGGTAATATTTTGGAGAAATTGCTTAGACAGAGATAAGTACTGTGCGACTTATTGCGAAGTATACTGTTCATTCACCTCTATTAGTGTGAATAAATATCTTTTCTTGGCCTGCTTCATTCTTCCTCCCTTCCTACTTATGGTTAACATAGACTGGCCCTCATTATCTCATGCCCTCTGCCTTTGTTTCCAAGGCAAAAAGCCCTCCCAGGTTTGAGGGGAGTCATGAGCCGTTTCCTGAATGTGTTAAGAAGCTGGCTGGTTATGGTGTCCATCATAGCCATGGGGAACACGCTGCAGAGCTTCCGAGACCACACCTTTCTCTATGAAAAGCTCTACACTGGCAAGCCAAACCTTGGTAAGAAATAAAAGAATGTCTGCATCCTTTGTAGGACTGGCCCTATGCTGTGGTTCCCAAACCAGGCTGTACATCAGAATAACCTAGGAAACTTCAACAAACACAGGTACCCATCTCCCTCACCAAACCTATTTATTGAACCTGGATGGAGCTCAGGAATCCAGTTGCTAAAAGCTTCCCAGATGATTCCGATGCTGCCTTAGTTAGCCTTTGGCAGCCACTGGAGTAATAGACTTTGTGGTGAGAACTTGACCCTTTTTCCTCCAGGCTTCTCTGAATACTTTTCATTCATTTTACACTGCCCTGGGCAATTTCGCATATTTAAAAAAAAAAAAAAAAAAGGCATTATAAGGGCAAGTGAGGAATTAGACTTATGTGGTGACTCTGTGTTGCCTCACTAGAAAGCCATAAAGAAGCTTTTCCTATATCTCAACGCCCTCTTCAGAATCAGGTTGGGGCTTACATGATTCATATTCCATGTTACAGATGGAAAGTTCTTAATCCAAGGTCTTCCCATGACATAGTCCCTGAGAAGATATTTAAAATCCCTTCAAGTTGGTCTCCAAAAATGAAACTTAAGAAGGCCCATGGCGGCCTTTCCTGGCTTCCTGAGCCTCTCTGCTGAGAGTGTGTGTCCATTTCAGCTTGCACTTCATCACGCTGATGTGTGGGGTAGTTTTAAGCTGCAGCACTGTTTCACAGCAGATGACAATTCTGTGTCACATTTATAGCTAACCCAGATTCAGGCTCTGACCTAGCTCGTTTTTCTGCAGTGTCTGGGTATAAAATGAAATTAAGTAGGCTAAGGCTCATTTTAAGAAAAGCTCAAATATAATAAGAGTAAAGAACCTGGGAAAGAGAGCAGAATAATTCCATCTTTTCACCTTCAAAGGCTGCCCTCAGATGATCATGGAACCCTATATGGATTCACAGATTTTTAGAGGTTATCTTTTCTAGCCCTTTGAGTTTAAAGTTGAGGCAAAGAAGTCTAGAGGTCATGTGACTTAGGCATATAGCTGAGCGGAACTTTGTGTGTGTATGTGTTCATCCAGCACACAAATGGAGGCTGCCATCTCCTTTATGATCTAGTGGCCATCATGGTACTCTCCTAAACACAGCAGTGCTTTA